TCTTATTACACTTTAATTGTCATTTATTATATTTCAGCGCATTTGTATTCTTAGCTGCTCTTGTGCACCGTTTAGTGAAGAGAGGTGATTTTATTTATTTGGAGAATTTTATCCTTCCTTTTGCACCCCCTCCCCCCCGCAAGTCTCCAAGAGTGGCTTGTTTGCATTCAAATCAGACTCAGTCAGCAGGTGAACAACCAAGAAGACATGACAAAAAGATTCCTGCATTGCAGGGGGTTGGACTAGATGACCCTCGTGCGTCTACAATTCTATGATTCTATGGCACAAAAGGAAAAAGGGATGAGGAGGGGAGAGGAGAGAAGCAGTCCCAGGTGTCCGTCCTCAAAGTTAAAGGATAGTTCTTACAATGACCAGCATGAATGACGAGAGGAGAAGCCTGATGGTGCTGGCTTTTTGCCACTGGCGGGAGGCTAATTCAAACCTCCTTCCCCTCCACAGCAGCAGCAGGAGGAGAAGGAACCAGCCACTGGAGCCACCATGTGCTCAGCTCCTTGCTTTACCTTTATGGACATTGGGGGAGGCACACCTACCCCAAAATATTCATGGCCCCCAAAAGGGCTTTGCCCCCAGGAGCTAGTGCCCTGGCCTCGTGAGATTCTTCGCCACTCCTTGAGTTCCTGCTATGCTTGGCAAAATGTCCCCTGCCCAGAGGGGGCTCAAAGCTGGACTTGAGCTAGATAAAGTTATAGTGACATTTTAGTATTGGATCAGATTGTTGCTATTAATGTTAAATGTTTTATTATGTTTTTATATGTTTTGGAACACGGGTGGCGCTGTGGGTCAAACCACTGAGCCTAGGACTTGCCGATCAGAAGGTCGGCGGTTCGAATCCGCGCGACAGGGTGAGCTCCCGTTGCTCGGTCCCTGCTCCTGCCAACCTAGCAGTTCGAAAGCACATCAAAGTGCAAGTAGATAAATAGGTACTGCTCCGGTGGGAAGGTAAATGGCGTTTCCGTTTGCTGCTCTGGTTCGCCAGAAGCGGCTTAGTCATGCTGGCCACATGACCCGGAAGCTGTACGCCAGCTCCCTCGGCCAATAAAGTGAGATGAGCACCGCAACTCCAGAGTCGGTCATGACTGGACCTAATGGTCAGGGGTCCCTTTACCTTTATATGTGTTGGAAGCTGTCCAGAGTGGCTGGAGCAATCCAGCCAGATGGGCAGAATATAAATAAAAAAGTATTATTATTATTATTATTATTATTATTATTATTATTACAGTCGTACCTTGGATCCTGAACGCCTTGGTACTCAGACGTTTTGGCTCCCGAATGCAGCAAACCTGGAAGTGAGTGTTCCAGTTTGCGAACATTCTTTGGAATCTGAACATCTGACATGTTCTGTTCCACTTCCAAGGTACAACTGTATTATTATTAGCCCTGCACCCTATCCTGACAACTATTTATGCTAGGCCCTCTTTTCCTGTCAATGCTGGTGTGTCTCAGGGTATGTGGACGTATTCTAGCAAGGATTGTGCTTACAGAAAAAATGGAACTGCCAGCTCTTCAGATGTCGAATTCACTTGACAGTCAAGTCTTGGTGCTGGCAGTGATTACGTTTTCTTTTGATCACATACACACATCTTCTTTGTGCTTGAGTGTCATCGAGGGTCAGACTCAGACTCTTGTAACTAATGTGAGTTTTTCTAGCTAATAAGTAAAATGTTAGATGTCTTCTCTGGGTTTTTTCTTGGTGCTCTTTGAAGTATTCCCTCCCCCCCCCCCAATGAGTCTGACTTGCTTTCTAATGGCTTGGGAACTTAGGAGCTGCCCCCACCCCATCAATAAATTGGTCTGCAAATCCATCCCTGGGGGGCACTGGACCCACCCACCATTGATTTGCAACAGCTGGCCTTGACACCAGACTTCTGGGTCGGGTGGGGAGGTTAAATGGGAAAAATTGTTGGTTCAATGTGAATGACTTTTGAACTAGGGGGAGGTTGAGGTTTTGTTTATTTTGCTAAATTAGTGGTTCAGACTATTGCTTCGTTTATTACTTGAGTGTTGTTCATGATGTTACATTATATGAAATATTAATGTATTATATGAGTATATTTGAGTACAGTTGTACCTTGGAAGTCAAACAGAATCCGTTCCGGAAGTCCATTCAATTTCCAAAACGTTCAGAAACCAAAGCATGGCTTCTGATTGGCTGCAGGAAGCTCCTGCAGCCAATTGGAAGCCGCAGAAGTGTCGTTCAGGTTCCCAAAATAGTCCGCAGGCTGGAACAGTCACTTCCGGGTTTGCAGCATTCGGGAGCCAAAACGTTTGAGAACTAGACTGTTCGAAAACCAAGGTACAGCGGTACCTTGGGTTAAGAACTTAATTCATTCTGGAGGTCCGTTCTTAACTTGAAACTGTTCTTAACCTGAGGTACCACTCTAGCTAATGGGGCCTCCTGCCGCCGTGCCGCCGCCGTGCAATTTCTGTTCTCATCCTGAAGTTTTTAATTTTGTTAGCCTGAAAATGGAAAACGAGTGAGGTCCCAACCAAAGAAGAATGGCAACTTACGTTGACATAATATGCGCAGCTTGCAGACTTAACATATAGAATGAGAGAACAAGAAGAATGTACGTTTACAGAAGATTGGAAAACATTTATTGAATATATGGGAAATAATCGTGTACAGCTGAAAACGCTGGCAGCATTAAGATAAATTCAACAGTGTAAATGAGTTTTGATGGATGCAATAATGGAATACTGAATGATATAGTTTTTTTAAAAATATGCAGGGATTTATGATACGCAAAATGAACCATGGAAAGATAAGAAGGGAAGTCATTGATATCTTAAGGATGTAAAAATGAGTACTTTAAATTGTAAAACAGAAAATTTAATAAACATTATATACAGAGAGAGAGAGAGACCTCTGCCCCAGGAGTTGGTGCCTATGCCTCGTCTATGGTATTAGGTCTTTAAAAGTGGATTTAATGTTCTCTACTGGAAAACCAAACACCCTGAGCTACCCTTCCCCCCAAATGTTTGCTGACAATACAGGATTCTCCCAATTTGGGGGCTCCTCTCATATGTGTAGGACACACACACACTGATCTATTATTCATTGCAACCCTGATCCATTCTCTTCCCACACCCTGCAATGCGATTACTATCCCCGCCGCCCCACCCCACTGTTCGCTCCCTGCTCTTTTAATAGAGTAGCATCTTCAAGTGTGCAAACACCACATTAAACATGCATTAGATTGAATCAAATCAAAAACGCTTCCCTTCGAGCCGGGGCCTGCCTGATAAGCATAAAAACAACGGTGCTCACCAGGCTTTGGCACATTAACACGACACATCATGAAAGATGCATTTTCTTCCCCCAAAATAAGGCTAAGCACTAATTAATGAACGTTTTTGAAACTTTCTTTTCTCCTTGCCTCTTCTTGCCGCTATTGCTGCCCTCAAAGCTGCTGCTGTCTGGAGTGACAGGCGAGGGGGAATCTCCTTCGGCAGCAGCAGGCTGCCATAGACTGCCTCAAATTCTGCAAACAGAGCCATTCCCTGTCTAGGGTGACATTTGCCAGCAAACGAGAGTCTCTGGTTGGCCGTGGCTGCCTGCATTTGAAATGCCAGCCAGGCAGGGATGCATTTGTCAATTACATCTGCATGTGAAATGAGCACAGGAAAAGGACCTGCCAAAAGTGTATTTTAGCCAAATATCTCAGAGCTGACTGGGGGAAGCGCGCGGTCCCAGATGGAAATCTCCAGCTATAAAGGATCAGATCAGGCACCTGGGGAGAGGGGAGAAAGGGTTAAAGTGCCTTACCTCCCACAGGTAGGGGGTGTGCCAAATTTTAGTGTTGGACAGGGCACCCCTGAAATATGAGAGCCCAATGTCTACCACTGCAATATTGCTGGGCTGAAGCTTGCAAGCTGTACACCAAGTCTTGTTAACAACAACAACTTGTTTGTTTGTTTGTTTGTTTGTACATACCCTGCCCATCTGGCTGGGTTTCCCCAGCCACTCTGGGTGGCTCCCAACAGAAGATTAAAAACATGATAAAACAGCAAACATTAGAAACTTCCCTAAACAGGGCTGCCTTCAGATGTCTTCTAAAAGTCAGATAGTTGTTTATTTCCTTGACATCTGATGGGAGGGCGTTCCACAGGGCTGGTGCCACCACCGAGAAGGCCCTCTGCCTGGTTTCCTGTAACCTCAATTCTTGCAGGGAGGGAACCGCCAGAAGGCTCTCGGCGCTCAACCTCAGTGTCCGGGCTGAATGATGGGGGTGGAGACGCTCCTTCAGGTATACTGGGCCGAGGCCATTTAGGGCTTTAAAGGTCAGCACCAACACTTTGAATTGTGCTCGGAAACGTACTGGGAGCCAATGTAGGTCTTTCAGGACCGGTGTTATGTGGTCTCAGTGGCCACTCCCAGTCACCAGTCTAGCTGCTGCATTCTGGATTAATTGTAGTTTCAGATCACCTTCAAAGGTAGCCCCACGTAGAGGGCATCTTAAAAATTAAAATTAAAGGGACTCTTGCTCACATTCAAGCCAACTTGGAGCCTTAAGGTCAGCCCTGGAGGTCTGGTTGCCCTAGGCCAAAGGATGTGGATCACAGTGGGGCACCAACTCTTTTGAACCCGTGGGCACATTCAGAATTTTGAGAGTACTGTGGGCACCGGCCACAAAATGGCCACCATGGGTGTGCGGCCTAACCCAAAATGGCCGCTACCTATGTAAAAGAGACAGAACCACAAAAAGGTACAGGCATGCCCCAAATTAACCTCTCATTTATGTGAGGGGAGACACCTCCTGTGCTTGCTCACAAAGGGAAGATTAATGTGCCCCTCAGAATAAAAGTGAAAGGGTTTCCAGTCCTGGCATCCCATGAAATGTGAGCATGTTAAAGAGGATCTGTTCAGTGTAGGAGAGGCTGAACCAGTGCAAACAGGAACGGAGCAGCAAGAATCATAGAATTGTAGAGCTGGAAGGGACCACAGGGATCATCTAGTCCAACCCCCTGCAATGCAGGAATGTTTTGCCCAGTGTGGGGCTCGAACCCACAGCCCTGAGATGAAGAGTCTCAGGCTCCACCGACTGAAGAGCAGTCTCTTGTGCCTTATGGATTTTTGAATGGGTATTTACTGAGAGCTTTCGTGGGTGCCAAAAGATTGACTGGTTGGCACCATGTTGGCGTTTCCTGATAGTAGAAGTTGATCAAGAAAACTCTTTGCATGAGCCCCTGGATTGCTGTTGCCAGTCAGAATAGGCACCACTGGGCTAAATAGATAAGCGATCTGTTTAGGTTTAAGGCAGCTCTTTCTATTTCATATCCACCTGTCCCCTTTTACTTTAAAGCATGGAGCTCTTTATACATAATTGGATAAGATTCAGGCTTCAACAAATCAGGCTGATGCTGTTACATCTGCTTTCAGCCTTGCAGAAGTTGTTGATGGTTGCTATTTTCCAGACAGCATTTGTAAAATTCCTTGAAAAGCCGTTCGTTCGCTCGGTGCGCGGAATCATTACTATGGTAACAAATGCAGAAATCTACTCTGAAGTGGCTGCCGTATGTGTAAGCCCGTGTGTGTGTTTGTGTCTCTCACATTATATCACGTGATGTTATCGCAGGGAAAAAAGTGGGTCATACATGACAAGCGCATATCAGGTAGGCTTGCAAAAGAATAAACAATGCAATAAAACCTTGGCACGCTGACTTCAGCTGACTTAGCACAGAAGTAAAATAGAAGGCAGCAATTAACAGAGGGCAAACTCTTGCAGAAAATGCAAAAGCTTTTCATTTCATAGTGGAATTCTCCCTTTCCCCCTTTACTGGCAATGGATGCCAGCCTAAGATTTGCAGAAAATAATCTATTTATCATCTATCTATCTAATGATCCTGTGTATGTTTACTCAGACATAGGTCATAGTGCATTTAGTGGAGCTTTCTCCAAAGTGGGTATAGGATTGCAACCTGAAGACTGCAATCCTAAGCCCACTTACTTAGGAGTAGAGATGGGGGACAGATTCAGCATGGATTGCATTTGAAGATGAACCTCCTGAATTTAAACTTTCATGCTGTGAAAATGCTTTATATTAAAACATTTTGAAAAAAAGCATTGAATTTTGCATAGCTCACTATCGCCATCCAGTGTCACATTTGTTTATTGCACTTTACAGCACATTTGAAATGTTTAGTTTGCAGCTGCGTAGCTGAGTCCCAAAACAAATGAGTCCTTTAAATGAGTCTGCGATGGGGTGAGCTCCCGTTGTTTGGTTCCAGCTCCTGCCAATCTAGCAGTTCAAAAGCACCTCAAAGTGCAAGTAGATAAATAGGTACCGCTCCGGTGGGAAGGTAAACGGCGTTTCCGTGCGCTGCTCTGGTTTGCCAGAAGTGGCTTAGTCATGCTGGCCACATGTACTCCGGCTCCCTCGGTCAGTAAAGCGAGATGAGCGCTGCAACCCCAGAGTCGGCCACGACTGAACCTAATGGTCAGGGGTCCCTTTACCTTTACCTTTTTATTTTGGCCTGGCTGGAATGTGACCTTGAACTCTTATCATTCCTCTTTGCTTGGATGGATGGAGGATAGAGAGGGGTGTTGTCTGCATGTGGAAACTACCTTACTGGACAAAGCTAGATTTTGCACTTGTTCCTCTGTCCCCTTCTGCCACTGGCTCCGCCCACCTCTGGCGTGTGGACCCTGAGAGACTGCTCAGAAGGGAATGTTGCCCTCAGACCAGGAAATGTCCCCCACCCCTGAACCTTATGCTAGCTAGCTTCTCGACAGATAGGTCACTTTTGCTTATCAGGAGAGAGAGGGGAGAGGCAGCAGAGAGGCTGGCTCAGATTTTGTTGGGCTTCAGGAAATGAATAGTTAATGCAAGTTAGTATATTACAGGGTTGTTGTTTTTAATGACTGCAGAGGTGAATAGTCAATACACAATAGTCAATCTTCACAGAGACAACCAACTGCTCGTAAACAAAACAGTTACAGTGGTACCTCGGTTCTCAAACATCTCCATTGAGGAACTTTTCGGACCTCGAATGCTGAAAACCCGGAAGTAAATGCTTCCGTTTTCTAACATGCCTCGGGTGTCAAACAGCTTCCACTGCATTTTTTAAAATTTTCTCAATTGATTTTGCAGACAGCCCTTACGTTCGAGAACCAAGGTACCACTGTAACTGTTTTGTTTATGAGCAGTTGGTTGTCTCTGTGAAGATTCAGATATACAGTGGTACCTCGGGTTACATACGCTTCAGGTTACATACGCTTCAGGTTACAGACTCCGCTAACACAGAAATAGTACCTCAGGTTAAGAACTTTGCTTCAGGATGAGAATAGAAGTCATGCTCCAACAGCGCGGCGGCAGCGGGAGGCCCCATTAGCTAAAGTGGTGCTTCAGGTTAAGAACAGTTTCAGGTTAAGAACAAACCTCCAGAACGAATTAAGTTCTTAACCCGAGGTACCACTGTATATCTATACTAGGGGCTCGCCATCCCTGCCTATCCACTTACAGCTTTCCCCAAGCGCCACCCCCTTTTAAAAGAGCCTGGGAGGAGCTTCAGAGGGCAGTTTGGTAAAGCACTCTCTGAAGCACCTCTCCCCTCTATAAAACAGCTCACCAGGGTTGCCTGCCGCTCACGCTGCTTGCCTGCCTACCTGCTGCAAAGCCACCTATTGGCAGCCACACAAACTGCAGCGTGCTGACAACCTTACATTTTTATGTATATAGGAAGATGCACTAAAAATGTTGGCTCTGTAAGAATTTTACAAGAATAGGGGTTTTACAAGAATAGGGGTATTATGGTATTATCCATGGAGGCTTGTTGACAGATATGTAATATTTTTTTTATTGAGATAAAATATACAACAATCTTTTTAAAAGACATATTTCTGGAATATATAATCTTAAGTGTTATTTCACATGGGTTTTTTTTTAAGCACCAGTAGCTATTTTGTGCTGGAAGCATTATCATTGCTTTAATTATGTTTTGTCAGTAGCTCCTGAAGGAGATTTCTCCAAAATGCATTGAGCCTAATAAGCTGTGAATTACTGGAAGCACTGAAGCCTGCCTACTTTTTGGTTCTGTTTCCTCTGCCTACTGTGGTGCAGATGATGATTTATATGTATTAGTCACTGTACTCATGAAAACGACTCAAAGTGACTTAGCAACAGATGTAACGGCAGGAGCACCAGATTGGCTCTGCTGCTGCGTTTGCACCGCACCAACCTTTATGCTGCCCCCTCTCTTCTCCCTCCCAATAAGCAGCCACCATGCATCTGCTGGGAAGCTGGTGGGAGGTATCTGCCCCACCCAGTTAGCTGCTTCTGCCTAAAATACACTTTCCTCCCTGAAGTTCTGAAAAAGTATTGCATACCTATTCTCTTCTGGGTCCCCAAAGGAGACAGGAAGTGCTGAAATGACTCTTAAAATTCTCAGTCGGTTTTGCAGGCTCATGACAATGTTCTGATAGATCCCACAAGCACCGAGGCAGTGTCTGAACTTTGAGCCTTGCTTTTTTCGCAGAAATTCCGAATCCTTTGTGTATTACCCATCAGGGTTTGATCTTTCGTAACTAGCCCCTGAAGGGGGAGGAGAGGAAGTTATAGATTTTATTCAGCAGGGGAATTCAGACCGAGTGGCAAACTTTTCTCTTTTGTAGTATTTTAGGATGCTCTTTTGTCTCTTTGACGTACCCAAATGGCCTAATGCGAAGACTGAATCCTTTTGTCAGTGCTGGGCAGTGGGCAGCAGTTGCAAGTGAATTGGGAACAAAGCCAGCAGCCAGCAGCCAGGGCCAAAGACCAAGGGCTGTATCCAGGTAAGTTTAACTCAGAGTAGACCCACTGAAATAAACAGACCAGATTTAGGCATGTCCATTCATTTCAATACTGGTACTCTGAGTAAAACTAATAAAACATATCCGAACACAATTCAAAGTGTTGGTGCTGACCTTTAAAGCCCTAAACGGCCTCGGCCCAGTATATCTGAAGGAGCGTCTCCACCCCCATCGTTCTGCTCGGACACTGAGGTCAGGCGCCGAGGGCCTTCTGGCAGTTCCCTCACTGTGAGAAATGAGGTTACAGGGAACCAGGCAGAAGGCCTTCTCAGTAGTGGCACCCTCCTGTGGAACACCCTCCCGTCCGATGTCAAGGAAATAAACAACTATCTGACTTTTAGAAGACATCTGAAAGCAGCCCTGTATAGAGAAGTTTCTAAAGTTTGACATTTTATTGTGTTTTTAATCTTCTGTTGGGAACCGCGCAGAGTGGCTGAGGAAACCCAGCCAGATGGGCGGTGTGTGTATTGCTGGTTACAACTCTAGTGTACAAATCCATAAATAGCTTGGGACCCAAGTATTTAAAGGAGCAACTCGTCCAGTATCTACCAGCCTAAGCACTACAATCAAAAGTGGAGGCCAGCTGGTGCTGACCTATGACAGAGCCTTCTCAGTGGTAGTCCCATTTGTGGCATGCCCTCTCTGGTGAGGCACCTCTATCTTCCTCACTATTGACATGAAGGAGAAATGTAAAGGCATTCCTCTTTACCCAGTTATTTGATTGCTGAGAAATACTGGCCACGGCAAACTTGAAATCAATAATGGTATGGCTATGCTATTGCTTTAATATGTTTTTAGATACAATGGTACCTCAGGTTAAGTACTTAATTCGTTCCGGAGGTCCGTTCTTAACCTGAAACTATTCTTAACCTGAAGCACCACTTTAGCCAATGGGGCCTCCCGCTGCTGCCACGCCGCCGAAGCACAATTTCTGTTCTCATCCTGAAGCAAAGTTCTTAACCTGAGGTAATATTTCTGGGTTAGCGGAGTCTGTAACCTGAAACGTACGTAACCTGAAGCGTATGTAACCCGAGGTACCACTGTACTGTTTTGTTGTTAAATAGATTTTTATTTTATTTTAAATTGTGTTGTTCTAAGATCTTGAAGTTTGCCCCCCTGGGCTCCTTTGGGAGAAAGGGCTGGTAACAAACTTAGTAAATATCCCCAAGAATGGAGCTCAGAAAGACCATGTTGCTTCAGCAAGGCTCAACTGAAACAGGAAGACCGCCCACACTTTTTTCCAATGCTTTTCTGCCCAGGAAGATCTCATGGCAAGTCTGCGTGTTTGGAGTTAGTCCAGGTCCTGAGGGTTCTTTGCTGAGAGGCTACTACCTTCAGTTCAGCAGATCACCACACGGGGCAGCGGTCCACATAACTGAGCAAGCAGCACAGCACCTTTCTAGGAACACCACCAATTGGCCACAGATCAGCTTTCGTTGGGCTAAACTAGATCATGGAATTGTGGCGTTGGAAGGGACCACGAGGGTCATCTTGTCCAACCCTCTGCAATGCAGGAATCTTTTGCCCAATGTGGGGTTCAAACCCATGAATCTGAGATTAAGAGCCTCATGCTCTAACCAACGAGTTGTGAGACAATGACACTTCACAACTGAAGCTTCTAACATTGTAGGAAAATACAACAGGTTATGGATTGGAGCTGTGGTACCAGGGAGGTGGAGTGTTGACTTCATCTGCATCAACAGACTGGGTTTTCAAGATCTAATCAGCTTTTAGGCGTGCATTTGGCAGCGAACTGCACACAATGCAAAACTACCGACAGAGTTGCACCTTGGGATGAGGTGGTGTCAGGCTTCAGGGACTCAGCTACCTCCCCCGCCCCCTTTGGTAGTAGATAAGCAGACCAAAGCAAAAGGAGTCTCTTACCAGTTAGAGATTTTAATGATCAGAGAGAGACAACAAAGAATCCATTCCTCATGACATACAAACTGTGGGACAAGGACAACTGTGACTTTAAGGAAGAATGGGAGCTTTTTACAAATTATCTAAAAAGACAACAAAATGAACTGGACTCCTTGGCAGGTTTTGAATAAACATACAAATTTATTGGTTGATAACATGATAGACAAGGCAAGGATATGTATAATTTTATAACATGCAGAGAATAATATGTGCAGAGAAATCAGAGAGAGGAGCTGAGGGAAGTCCCTGGTGGGGGGGGGGAGGGAGGGAGGGATGGAAGGGGGGAAAGGGAGGGAAATGATGCATGTGATTATATGGTTTGATAATTTGTTATGATGAAATTGTTAATTTTTTTTAAAAAAAGAATTCATTCCTCAGAATGAAGGTGCTCCCAATTAAGGGTTCCACCCACTTCCTCCGTAGCCACCCACCTCATTACTGCATCTTGTAACCTGATCTTGCAACCACTGTGCTTTCTGTGCTGCCACCTTATCTGCCCTCCTTAACCTTGAGTCTGTTAGCTCTCTCTCTCTCCTACTTCTTCTTCTCCTGACTGTTCAACCCCCCCCCCCCCCGTTCTTCCTAACTTCTGTCGTCTGAACTATGTCCCTCTGCAACCATTGTTCCAAATCTATGCTGCCCCACTGCTCCTGGGAAGATTCGGGATCCTGATTAGGAGCAGGGGGAGGCAGAGGCGGAGGCTCCCACCATTCCTCCTCAGTGCCGCCCTCCCTCCGCACGGTCCCTGACAGGTGGACACAAACACACACGCTTTGGTTCTGTGCAATAGTTTAGTTTGCTTGTCCCTGCCAATTGGAGTTGTGACCTTCTTCCCCACTGACAGTGCTGTGTGATGCTGCTTCAGCGCTTGGATTCCCGTTGTGCCCTTCCCTGCCTGTTAACTGGGATGCTTCTAAAGGAAGTGGCAGATGTTGTTTGGAGAGGGTTCCAAAGCCTTGTAATCCTTCAAGGCTCTCTGCTCCATTTCCCCAAAGAGATCCATCACGATTCTGCTTTTGGCAGCCTCTGCTTCTCATTATAGCCATCCTCTTTGATTATTTAAAGCTTTGTTTCTGAGCAGCTTCTCTTTCCGATCGTTCTTCCTGGGAAGATTTTGGCTGGGGCGGGGGGTGGAGAGATGTGAAACATCTCAAAGCAATTTCACAATAAAATAAGTACCGTGTGCGCAACAACGGCACCTCTGTGTGTGTGTGTGTGTGTGTGTGTGTGTTTGCGTGTGTTTTTAAAAATAAAAATAAATAAATACAGACATACACTGGGGTGGAAATCTGCATTTAGAAGGCAAGTTGAAAGAGAGACTTCTTCAACAGGTGCCGAAAGGACAGTAAAGGTGATGCATGTTTGATAGAGCTGGTGTAGTGGTTAGCGTGTCAGTCCAGGACCCAGGAGACCAGAGTTCAAATCCCCACTTGGCTATGAAACTGACTGGGTGACATTCAGTCTATCTAACCTACGTCACAGGGCTGTTGTTGTTTAGTTGTGTCCAACTCTTCGTGACCTCATGGACCAGAACACGCCAGGCACTCCTGTCTTCCACTGCCTCCCACAGTTTTGTCAAACTCATGTTGGTGGCTTCGAGAACACTGTCCAACCATCTCATCCTCTGTCGTCCCCTTCTCCTTGTGCCCTCAATCTTTCCCAGCATCAGGGTCTTTTCCAGAGAGTCTTCCCTTCTCATGAGGTGGCCAAAGTATTGGAGCCTCAGCTTCACGATCTGTCCTTCCAGTGAGCACTCAGGGCTGATTTCCCTAAGAATGGAAAGGTTTGATCTTCTTGCAGTTCATGGGACTCTCAAGAGTCTCCTCCAGCACCATAATTCAAAAGCATCAATTATTCAGCAGAAGCTGAAGCATCAGCCTTCTTTATGGTCCAGCTCTCACTTCCATACATCACTACTGGGAAAACCATAGCTTTAACTATATGGACCTTTGTTGGCAAGGTGATGTCTCTGCTTTTTAAGATGCTGTCTAGGTTTGTCATTGCTTTTTCCCACAGGGCTGTAGTAGGGATTAAATGAGGAGGGGGGAGAACCATGTAACGCCACCTTGAGTTCTTTGGGGGGGGGGGGCGGAAGATGGGATATAAATGCAATAAATTAAAAACAGGAGTGAGCCATAAGTCAGTAACAAGAAGCAAGTGGAATCAACTCTTTATTGGGGGGGGGGAGAGGATCTGCACAGGTGTCAGGCCCAATGAGCGCCGCAATCCATCTTCAGTAGGTCTTGCCCCCTATGACACAGTTGCAGAGAGTGAAAGCCCCTGCCGTCGCACAGTTGCCTAAGTCCCCTCCTCTCCAGGGTTTTCTCCAAGCAAACTGAAACTGCACCTAAGTGGTGCTCATTTTTCCTGTGCCCACTTCATGCCTCTCCTGGTTCTGGGTGACTGGAGAAATTTGTTGCAGCAGGATTTGTTGTACCTCTTCACTAGCTACATAGATTTAGATAATTTATTACGGTCAAAGACCAGCTCGCATAACACAATAAAAACAGCATTCATAAAGATAAAATATACAATCAGAGCAGATTGCAGCAATAGCTCATGAATTAAAATTGAGCTATATACATACACCCGTACAACTGAGATTTGGGCTACCATAAAAATTGACCCTGAGGCACCCCAAAGGGTGACTTCAGCATTTCCCTAATAAGCTATTTTATTCTAGAGGATGATCCGTGCCTACAAATCTGGGCGCAGAATCTGGCTACCAGCCAGGTTGTCTTGTGATCTTTGCCTAAGAGGAGAGAATTAAGTTTAGACTTGTCTGAAAGACTGGCGAGCCTCTTCAGCAAAGGATCAGTAGTGTCTCTACGAATCTCAACATAAAAAGGACATCTAAAAAATATATGTCCGGGGCTTCCTATTTCCCCTAATGGGCAGGCGCAAAGTCTCTGTGCGTACGGGACTCTTTTATAGGAGCCTTCCAGAACTGGTGAGGGCAAGGCCGATCTTCTAGCAAGAGTGAAAGCCCTTCTTGTGTAGCTAGACTTGTTTTTGTCTCTTGACTCCCCTCCTCTCCTGACTTGGCTCCAGCTCCAGCTTCTGAACTTCCCTCTAGCACAGACTCTCCCTGCTCACGAAGCCCTGTTACCTCCTCAGCTTTCGTCACCTCCTCCTCCCAGTCTTCTCTCTCTGACCACTCATTGTCATCCCCCCCCAATCCTACCAAAAAGGCTCCCTTTGCTGCTCTTAATACCATGGGCGGTTTGCAGGGAAGGAGATGGTCTTCCAGGTATTTGAGTTATTTGAGACTTTAAACTAACATGAGCACTTCGAATTGGGCCCAGAAACTAACCGGTAGCCAATGCAGCCATTTTAGAACAGGGCGTTGCATGATTTCTGAAGGCAAGCCCCGCAAGCAATCTGACTGCTGCATTCTGCACCAGCTGAAGTTTCCAAGTTGTTTCCAAGGACATTGCAATTATCCAGTCTGGAAGTACAGTGGGCAAGTCGTATCTCTCCAGTGATTGTTGAATCTAGGAGCATCCCCCAAGTACCCTGCAACTGACAGACATAACAGGACATTGCAGCAGCAGTGCATCAAATCACACCTGTAATTAACATGTTACAACATATGCCCAATAGACTTGCATAGCAGCCGGAAAAAACCCTACATAATAAGTTGGAAACCATGAAGTGAATGAAACCTATATAATGTCTTGATTCAGTTCAATGGATACACTCTGAGTAAGGTTGAAGCTGGATATGGTCCATTGTGTATTCATGTGTTTTGATATTTCTTAAATAAATCGCACCTATGAATGTTGATTTTATGTATTTGGATATGCTCCTGTTAAAAGCTGCTTTGAGATCTGTTGGATAGAAAATAGCCTTATAAATGGACTGACTGACTGGATAATGTTCCCTCCAGAAGGCGGTCCAAAACACTGACTGCTAGAACCGTCTGTGGAGATAGAACCCCATCAAAAGGAAAAAAAAATGAAACACAGACATCGTGTTCCTTAGCACAAGTGCCAAGCCAAAGCAATGCAATGAATGGAGATAAATGGAGCTCCCATTCATTGAAAAGTGGGCCGTGTCTATCGCTGACTCATTCTGCGATTCATTCTTAAGCAAGGGAGACATCTAGTGCTCAAAGGGTGGAGCGCACACATAAATGTTGGAAGAATGGAGCCCAAAGATGCATGGTGTGGCAGGGAAAACTTGTGAACAATTTCTCCTGTCATTCATATTCTTTTGTGAATGTGCAAATATCTACCATTCTGTTCTCTTAGTCTGCCTTATGCTTGTTCATCTTGCAGCTTTCCCATAGGCTCTGGCTTGGCAGGTCACATTGTTATCTGGCTCCACCCCACAGGCCAACTTTGACTGATTGCTGGGGCGACCCACTGCCTGTCAAACACCCAGTGTCCGGTGGGTAGGTAGTCCCACTCACTTGTCAAATCCCATTGCGCAGCAGTGCCCAAGTGCCTGGCAGCCAGCCGCTGAGATTAATGCATGCCCAGAGGTGTGTGCTTAGCTTGCATTGGAAACTGGGCTTTTGGTGTTGCGTCTCTGGCCCTCTGGAATAGGTTGCCAGCTGAAATGACCAGCCTACTGAAGTTTTTGTTAAGAAGGCTTTCCCAGAAATGTGACCCGGTCATATAGGGAATGTTAATTACACAAACTGTGCCCGCTAGCATATTGGCAGCCAATCCAGCTCTCTCAACAAAGGTGTCACATGGTGTTGATGTGATGTCCCAGTCAACAACTGTTGCATTCTGTGACAAGCTGCAGCTTCCCAGTTAAGCCCAAGGGAAGCACTACATATAGCACGTTGCAGTAGTCCAGCCTGTTAGAATTTCTGCTCCATGATTGCAGTCATGGGATTTTTGTCTATCACATGACGGTATATGTTTTGACTCCACAAAATGATGGAGACAGGATATTTATGTTACTGTGTTCCCTGAAGTAGGACTATTGTCCTTTGTTCTTTTTCTCTTTGCTGTCTGATGCTAGAGAGAGGGGGAGCCATGTTGCAATGCTCCATGTGTGTTTATATGTAAATAAAGTAGATTAGCCAAAATGCTGAGTTGCTGAGGTCTGTTACGCATCTGCACAGACTCTGTGGATGCCTAAGTGTGCCAGTGTTGGTTGGCATCGGTTGCTGTGATGTTTGGGCTGAAGAAAGCTTTTGAGGCTCCCAAAAAATTGACCAGGAGGGAGAGAACATGCCAGTCAGGCATGTGTTTCTACCAGGGTCCTACTCAAGTGTAGGCTGAGGTTTCCAAATGGCCCACAACGGCCAAAATAAATTTGTCCAGGACAGCAAAACCCACTGGTGACCCTCTGAGGCAAGAGAGAGGGGCTGAACAGCCAGTGATGGCACATCTGGGAATTTATATATTTGCTCTGCATGCAAGATGTTTTGTGGAAGGATCAGGCCCATGACAGTCTTTTGTCTATCTGGTTCCCTTTGTGTAGGCCTGAAAAGAAGACCATCCACATTGAGAGACTTCCTAGCCAAGGATTGCAAAGATACGGCTTTCCTCTTATTTCATTAAACATTCCTCCTGGCAAGAGTGTTTGTTTGTTTGTAGGTTTGTTTCAGGGAAAGGCGGAAATTAAATGGGTAGCTGTCATCTGACATTTTGTCAACTGCAGAAACAAGATCCAAATAGCTCCTTGTTGATTTGTGAGACTGATAACAAAGATGTTGTGGCCAGCTTCCAACTTCGGGAGGCCTGATGTTGTTGACCTTGAAAGAACAGGAGCTGTTTCGACAGTTTCTTTTTATGCATTGTAAAGAGACCTTCACAGAGGCTAGATCGGCAGGGCTAAGTTTGCAAACTCCTGCAAACACCCCATCGTTCCCATGATGGTGGACCCGGGTTGCACAATGTGCCAATTAACTTAGAGATCAAATGGGGCAACCCCTAAAATATGGTTCTGACACATTCATGGGATTCTGTAGCTATGCAGTCAACTATGTAAACAGAAAGAGAGAGAGACAGAGAAATGAGATCCTCAAAACATATACTTACAAAGACCTGTGATCTTCCAGGATTTACAGAATGTTCAGGGGGATTAAAAAGAAACCAGAGCTGTGGGGAGGGGATTGAACTGCCCAAGCCCCTAATGGCCTTCAGAAAGCATCCTAGAAGGAGTTGCTGGCAGGGGAGATTTCTGACCCTTTAATGTGCAGGGATATTCCCTGGAAGGGATTCACTGCAAAGTTTGTAAAATTTCAGCTCAGTTATTTAATCTTAATGGTAAAGGTAAAGGTACCCCTGACCGTTAGGTCCAGTCGCGGATGACTCTGGGGTTGCGTGCTCATCTTGCTCTATAGGCCAAGGGAGCCGGCGTTTGTCCACAGACAACTTCCGGGTCATGTGGCCAGCATGACTAAGCCGCTTCTGGCGAACCAGAGCAGCGCATGGAAAGCCATTTACCTTCCTGCCGGAGTGGTACCTATTTATCTACTTGCACTTTGACGTGCTTTCAAACTGCTAGGTTGGCAGGAGCTGGGACAGAGCAACGGGAGCTCACCCTGTCGCGGGGATTCGAACCGCCGACCTTCTGATCAGTAAGCCCTAGGCTCAGTGGTTTAGACCACAGCGCCACCCGCGTCCCTAATCTTAATGGTAAATACCTGCTAATTGTGATGCAGTGTATTTCAGCTATTTTTCTTAACAACCATTGTGCACTGCTCTGCTGTTTTTACGCCATGTCCTCGGAATATATGCTTCCGTCCTAAGACTCGTTTCCTCATAACTTTGCTCAGAGAGTTGCATAATAAAGCACTTATCTTTATACTTGGTGCTTATTATTTTGACTGAATTGCTCTCTTGCCTGTACTCCTGCAACCCTTGGTTCCAAATCAGCAAGTTTCATCTTTTCTTTCTTTCTTTTTTAGCAGTGAATGTTCCTTTTTTCCAGGTCATTGATCTGTAAGGTTAAAAAAAAATCAGTTCTCTGGATGACTTTCCCCCTCCTTTATCTTTTCTGGGCACAACCACTGCTCACTTTGCCTCCCCCCCTCCCCCGTTGCTAGATTGTCCTTTGCTTTCAAAAGGTAGAATGTCAAGAGTCTTCAACTGCAAATTAATGAATCCACAGATTAATTCATGGAGGGTTGTTTTTTTTTTTAATGTCAGAGCCGGAAACAGCTTCTTGGGCTACATTCAGAATGACACTCTTACATTTTCTTTGACGTCTGTAAGGTGGATTTTAGAGGCAATCGTTCCCTCTATATAATAGCTAACTAGGGCAGTTGAGTGCCTATCAAATTGGCAGCAAAATGAGGTTCTCAGGCCTTGTGAAATGAACAGATATATACAGATCTAAAATAGAAAACTGCCCTATGCAGTGTTGAGCACAGAAAGAGAACCAAACTCATGGTCATCCAATGGAGATGAATGCTGGAAGAGTCAAGATAGATAAAAGATAGTACTTCTGCATTTAGTGTAAATCACATGGTCTGCCATGGAGTGATGGTCCATCTCTAGATAGTTATCCAAAAATATGGCCCTCTTCCCCTGTTTGCATGGGCTTGTCTGGGAAACGAACCCTACATTCAAAGCCAGAATCCCCAACCTTTTAAGGCCATGGGCACATCTGGATTTTGAAGCAAGTCCCACTGCTTATCGCCACTTCTCACCGACTTCTCCAAATCAGCCCGCCCACCCCAAAAGAGAGAAAGAAGACACACATAAACACACTTTGCTTATCCAAGGAATCCGGGTACAAGTCGGATTCAGTAAGCCGGACCTGGGCTTTGAAAAGAAGCAAAGAAGCCAAAACGTAAGTGGGAAAAGAACATCCTCCTAACTTCCTCTTTAGGCTCTATGGTTTCAACTCAAGGGAGGAAAAGGTAACAGCCCCATCTACCACATGATGAAGGAGGTCCAAAGGCTTCAGAGGCATGGGGGTAGACCTCAAGGACATCAAGCCCTAAACCAAGAAGTTAAGAGTGGTATCCCCCCTTCTGGTAACCTCTTTCTGCCAAAAAGTAACTTGCACACAATTTTTTAAGGGAACCAGAACTTGCTTTATTGAGGCAGTGAGTGGTAAAACAGAGGTGGCAGAGCCTATTCTGTTTTTGTTTGTGACGGGCGTCAGAGGGAATCTCTGGTGGGTGCCTTCCTTGCTGGAAATGCACATCCCAGAATGCACTTCAAGGTCTTCTTTTGAAATGTGACATCTTTATGTTAAGTATAAACAACATTTCGACAGCTTGCGGGCTTGACAGCCATATAACATCCTCAACACAGCCCTTGCTTCCTGCTACAAGGAAGTAAGTTACTAGATGGCGGTTTTCCCCCTCGGCTCTGGTACCATTTCCTTTTCTTTCTTTCTTTCTTTCTTTCTTTCTTTCTTTCTTTCTTTCTTTCTTTCTTTCGCAATGGACCTCCTATCCCTATTCTGATTGCTGCAGTACATACGGACGCCTGCCAATACGCCTGAGGAGAGGCGCAGCAGACAGGCAGAGGCTGTGGTAGAAGTTACCTCTTCATTGAAGCGCCTTCTGATTTTGTGCCATTATCAAAGCAGTGTCTGGAAGTGCCCTTCTTTTAAAGTGAGATCTACCAGTGAAAATATAGTTGCTATTGTCGGAAATCAAGCCTTTATCAGGAGAAACTGGCCACTCTCCAGGCACCCGGCTTGATCTCCTGTTGACCTCCCTGTCTGCATTCCCCAGCAGGATACAGGCTAGGTCGCGATAGGCGATCCTTCTCAGCGTGAGAAGAACACACCCCCTCTTTCCTGCCCCCCCCTGGGCAGTGGAAAGAGATAGACAGAAACGTATTTACATGCCTTTATTTCTGTCTTTGCAGTGTTACAAAAAACATGACTGCTCTCTTCAAGCTCCAGCAGTCGAGAGTGAAACAAAACCTGTACTTCCTGTACAAGAGCAAAAGGAAGAGCTCATATTACACTCTGAGCTAATTCCGGTGCATTGCCCTGTGAATTGACTGTCCCTCTGTTTCCCACGGAACAGTCCTAACATTCCATCATGTGCTGTTTTCAAGCTAGCAGCTCGCGGCTGCATTGCTTTTATATCGTAACAGCTATATGCCTTTTATTTATATAATTAATAGAACTGAGGCAAAAGGCAAGGTAAGAAGCAGAATGTCTGGTTTGTGGGGAAGAGGAAAATGAGGCCACCACCTTGCTAAAGCTACGCAGGTCTGGGTCTGGTCAGTCCCTGGACAGCTGACCATCCGGGAACCATGCCACCTTGGCTTCCATGACAGAAGAAAGGAGGGAAATAGAAGTTTCCTTCAGATACATAGCATATTGATTGGCAATCCAAAGGCACACATGTAGAAAGGCAGAGCGGGGGTGGGCACGGTCCCCCTTTAAGATTTTGGCTGAAAATGGAAAAACCAAAACAAAACGTGATGGTCAAGTATATCTCATGGGTTGCAGAGGAACACATGCAATAGGGATGGATCTGTCAGTTTTTGTTTCCTTCTGTTTCTCAGTATTCCAGTCATACTTTCAGTTCATATCTGCAGCCATTTGCTTTTTTTAAAAAAAAATCCTCATGAAAATTCAGCAGCATTTTACGTGTGATTTTACCCTAATAAACACATCCTTGGACGCAACTTTGATTAAGCTGCACTTCTTCTTTTTTGCAAACAACTCCCTAACTGAATGCATTTCTGTATGCCGTTTTCACTGCTGTACACACTTCTTTGTTGCAGAACAGAGCTGCAAGATTTGGAGACATGCAAATTCCAAAGGGTAGCTGTGTTTTAGCTGGCTTCTCCGTTCAAAAAAGTGCAAATTAAAATGCAAGCAAAATCACATTTCTCACCCCTCCCAATCCTACAAATAAAATCATTCAAAGCTCTGACTAAAGTGTGACACTTACACAATATGAGTGCCATATATATGTGTGAGTAGATAGACATACATTTATTTTCTTTAAAAACAAACAAAAACAAAACCCGCCATTTTAGATTACAATCCTGAATGCACCTCCTGTGGAGTATGTCTTACTCAGCTCAGTTGAACTTGCTTCTCAGGAAGCCTGCATATTAGCAGTGGGTAGGACTGGGCGATATCCGGTTTTCAACATCGTGATATATTCCCAGCCAACATCACGATATATACCGATATATCATGAGGTCTGAAATAAGGATGGAGCTACATAGAGGCATTGGTTGGCTTCACAGTTTTTCCCACATTGTGATTTTTGCATAACACACACACACACTATGATTCGTGCTAGATTGCCAGCCCAAAAGATATGAAACCGGTTTTGGACACTACAGTGGTACTTTGGTTCTCAAACGACTTGGGGCTCAAACAACTTGGAACCCAAACACTGCAAACCCAGAAGTAAGTGTTTCAGTTTGCGAACCTCTTTTGGAAGCCGAATGTACTCCGTTTTGAGTGTTACACTTCCGATTTGAGTGCCACACTTCCGTTTTGAGTGTTATGCTTGGGCAGGCAGGCATTGCCCAGTTTTTTAAAAACTCTGCGCATTTCTGTTTCACAGGGTGCGAAAAAAGAGCTTTGCACCTTGCCTGGCAGAGAAACAGTGCACCTTGTGCCCCTCCTGGGCAACTGCGTGCCCGTGACTCCTGAGCCTCCCTGATCTGTCAAAACAAAGAGGCAAGGGGGCAGGAGATCGGGAAGGCTCAGGAGTCACGGGTGCGCGGTTGCCCAGTTTTTTTAAAAACTCTGTGCATTTATGTTTCACAGGGTGCGAAAGAAGGGCTTTGCACCTTTATACAATATGCATGTGTGCTTGGGCCCAGGGTCTTTTGCCTCACCATCTCCACTACTGACTCCCTGTTGCTACTCAGCTTCAAAAAAAAAAGTGCCCCCAGATTCCACCTGGTAACCTTACATTAGATAGCAAAATTCATGTTAAATTGCTGTTTTAGGGGTTGTTTTTAAAAGTCTGGAACAGATTAATCCATTTTGCATTACTTTCTATGTGAAAGCGCGCCTTGGTTTTGGAACACTTTGGTTTTGGAATGGACTTCCAGAATGGATTAAGTTTGAGAACCAAAGTACCACTGTATATCAATATATCGCCCAGCCCTAGCAGTGGGAAAACTTTTTCAGCTGCAGGGACACAGTCCCTCGTGGACAGCCCTTCCAGAGTCTGCATGTCTGGGGTTGCCGTGGCCAGTGGCAAAAGTGGGCGTGACCAGAGGTGGAGCAGCACAATGGCTCTTACCATCTGGCAACAGGATACGTTTCAGGCATGCTTCACACACGCAAGCACATCTCTTCATCTAGGCAAGCAAGAGGCATTATGGAAGTTCTAGGGCAAAATCCAGCAAGGCAAAAGCATTTAAGGAAGGTGCGGAGCAGTCCCAAGGGCCAGACCTGCAGGGCCACATTTGGTCCAAAGGGCTGAGGCTCCCCCATCCCTGCTGCATAGGAATGCATTCTCAGTGCAGATCCAAGTCTGCTCTTTTCGGGTGACCTGGTGAAAGAATCTGCAACCCAGGGCCCTAGCACAGATGTCAACTTTTCATGTACCAGCAAAAGATACGGATTGCCCATGCAGCACCCCTGCATGGAGACGAGAGGAGGCGGACAGGAGAAGGCCAAGCCAGCAGCAGTATATGACAAACAAAGCTCCTGTTCTTCACATGGTGTACATTTTCACTGGCTCACGCAAAGGGCGCAGGAGGCGGTGATGCTCTCGGATTGTCTCGCAAGACTCCTGAGATGGCCAGAGGCAGCAGGTTTCACAACACATTTGACGGCAGCTCCACTTGGAGCCGGAAGGTGAGGTGTCGGACGTTGGGGAGAAGTCAAAATCGGCAACCTACGTTTCGACAACGGGGAAGACAAAAGCTGGTTCCAATAATGTCTCAGGTGACAAACCAACCCTCCCTATAACGGCTTAGAGAAGTTTAAGTATACTTGTAAGTTTGCATTTTTGGAAAATAGCCAGATGCTTTCAGCAATGCATCTAATTCTGTGAAGAATTATGTAGGGTGGTGGCTATTGGGCTGGATTCGAAACCTGGGAGACCAGGGTTCAAATCCCCACTCGGCCATGAAGCTCACTGGTGACCTTGGTCTAGTCACTGCCTCTCAGCCTGGCCTGACTCACTGTTGGTGGGGGGTGTTAGGATTCTTGCTCCGTGTTTGCAGTCATGAGATTGTTGTCTATCACATGACGGTGTATGTTTTCATTCCACAGAGTGGGAAGTGACGGAGACAGGATGTTTTGTACTACTGTGTTCCGGAATGTAGGACTATTGTCCTTTGTTCTTTCTCTCTTTGCTGTCTGATGAGAAAGAGGAAGGAGCTAAGTCAGAATGCTCCGAGTGTATTATATGTAAGTAAAAGTAGATTAGCCAAAATGCTGTGCTACTGAGTTCTGTTATGCCAATACTTTGCAGGTTCGTAAGTGTGCCGATGTCTGTTGGCATTGGTCGCTGGGATGTTCAGGCTGAAGAAAGCTTTTGAAGCTCCCGAACGACCGACCAGGAGGGAGAGAACATGCCAGTCAGGCATATGTCTCTGCCAGGGTCCTATACGAGAGTAGGATGATCCTAACAGGGGGGACATCCAGGAACATGGAGTGTCAGGACCACAGGATCTAGCAGTGATCAAGGGTCTGAGTCAGGGGCTGCAGAGTCTCCAGTTATGGAGTCATACACAAGAGACCACTGAGCCTGGGACTGATAAACAGGAGCCCATGGGAGCAAGCTCTGAGCCAGGACCTTTGAGGGTGTGTTTCCCCAAGCTTGAGAAGCCAAATGCCTCCCGGCGCACATCACCAGTTGGGTGGCGCATAGCCATAGAAGGCTATGGAGTGGAGGAGGAATGACCTGTCTTCAGGCCAGAGAGTTGGCCCCTTTAAGACACTAATGTCATGCACAAGAGGGTGGGGCCTAGAGGAGGTGGTCTGGGGGGCAGATGCTTTAAAAGGCTCAGTCTCCTCTCAGCCTTTGGAGCTAGCCTGGGGTCATACATAGTGTGACCTGGCTGCCTGCTCTGTGGGATCTGGCCTCGGACCTGAAAATGATTCGAGGAATGGAACAGAGTGGCAGGAATCCTGAACAGCAGTATATCTGAAGGAGCATCTCCACCCCCATCGTTCTACCCGGACACTGAGGTCCAGCGCCGAGGGCCTTCTGGCGGTTCCCTCCCTGCGAGAAGCCAAGTTACAGGGAACCAGGCAGAGGGCCTTCTCGGTAGTGGCGCCCTCCCTGTGGAACTCCCACCAGATGTCAAAGAGAACAACAACTACCAGACTTTTAGAAGACATCTGAAGGCAGCCATTATTATTATTATTATTATTATTATTATTATTACGCTCCACGAGGCAACATTTTGTTGCAGGCCCCGCTTGTGATGCAAGTAAGGTTAAATTTGGCTTGGGTTCCTCGGCCCCCAGTGTGAGCATAGCAGCCTTTAGGGAAGTACCTCCACAAGATCCTTTTGCTGTGCGCTGCTCCGGAACGTCACGTAGGCAGCTAACCCCAGCATGGCTGATAAGAGGGTGATGCAAGGCAGCACTAAGAAAGCTGGGTGGATGCCTGGAGAAGAGGAGAAGGAGGGTGCTTAGATTGGAAATCTATCAGGAAACATCTCAACGCCATTGTACGTTGTGTGTGACCACACTTGGACTTCTATGTCCAGCTCCTGTTGCCACAACTCAAAAAGGAGCAGCGTGAATTTTTTTCCAGCTTGAGGGTCGCATTGCCTTCTGGGAACCTTCTGAGGGCCACATGCCAGTGGTGGGGGGCGGGGCCAGATGCCAGAGTGGGTGGACCAACCTATGCACATTTTACTTTGGTACAGCAGGGCAAGTTTCTACACATATTCACACGCCCTTCTCTAGCTGCCGTCCAGAGAAGCGTAATCAGAATTTGGTGAGGAAGCATAATCAGAATTCAGGGTATGAAGCAGGGCCTGTGGAAAGAGTTCTGAGGGCTCAGGTAGAGAGGCATGGAGGCCACATTGGCCCCTGGGCCTGAGGGTTCCTTGCACTCCTTGTTGTAGATCTGGAAAAGGTGTAGGAAAGGGGAACCAAAATGGTTGGGCGGTTACAGCAACTCCCTCCCTAGGGAAGCTTATGGAATTACAGTGGAACCTCGGGTTGTGGACATAATCCGTGACAGAGGCACGTCCGCAACCTGCAGCATTCGCATCCTGAAGCGCTGTGTCTGCGCAGGCGTGATTTGGCGCTTCTGCGCATGTGCGAGCAGCAAAACCCGGAAGTAGCCTGTTCCGGTACTTCCGGGTTTCCCGCAGTCCGCAACCCGCAAACATGTAACCTGAAGTGGCCGTAACATGAGGTATGACTGTAGTGGCTTTGCACTTGAGAAAAAAAGGGGAAAGTGTGTGTGAGAGAGAGAGGGGGGAGGGAGAGAGGGAGAGAGAGAGGTGTGTAGGATTACGCAAGGGGTGGAAGAAGTGGATAAACCTAAGCCCCTTTTCTCATAATATTGGAACCCAATGGGGTCACCTAATTACGCTGAACAATCCTGCGCAGGAGGAGAAAAGGTGAAGGAATGTAAAGGGCCCAGTCGAAATGGAGCAAGGAGCACTGGTGCACACACCAAAACTTATACAGCAGAAAATACTATTTATAATCTATTAGACTCCTTATCTAATGTAGCTCTTTGTTGGAGATGTAATATGGACAATGCTTCCTTGAAACACATGCTTTTAGTGTGTCCCACACTAAGTTTGGAGAGAAAGTGCTGGTCAACATAAACAAGACACTACAGGAAAATTTAAGATTTTCAGAAGTGAATAGGCTCTTGAACTATATACCGATGGAAATTGATAACAACTGACAGTGAAAATGGATTCTAGGCACCCTAATGGTGTCCAAGAGACTTTTTTTAAATGACATTCTCCATATATATATATATATATATATATATGTGTGTGTGTGTGTGTGTGTGTATATGTATATATATATATATATCACCTGCTTTCCAACTGTGGAGTAGCTTTTCTCCTAACTCTCACCTGACGGCCTCACTTGAATCTCCTGGTACGACTGCAACATGTTGACCCCATTCTCCACTCGCACGCTAAGGCAGTACTGCCCAGCGTCCCTGAAGACGTGGCTCAGATTGTAGTGCGTAGCATTCATCGCCACCAGGTGGCAGTGGTCCCTGTCGAGCGGAACGCATTCGGTCTTGATTAACCAGCACAAGTGGAGAGGCAGGCTGGGAAGAAAGAAGGACAAAAGCTCTATTCTGCTTTAGGTGGCTGGCGCTGCAATTTTCTCCGTGCCAACTCAGAATCAAGCTGAAGTGGGACTTACTCCCAGGTAGGGATAAAGGATAAATTCGATTCCTCTCCCATTTCAAGACAAGGCTACCAAACGGGGAGTTTCCAAAACAATGCGTGAACCGAAACACTGGGATCTTTTGACATGTGCTGACTCAATTTTCCAATGTAGCTCTCCAGCCAAGTAAAATGTGTACAGAAAAGATCACAATATATAAAATCAAAATCAAAACAATAACCTAAATAACACCCCCCCCCCAAAAAGAGCCACATTTTAAAAGGGTAAAAGGTAAAGGTACCCCTGCCTGTACGGGCCAGTCGTGACCGACTCTGGGGTTGCGCGCTCATCTCGCTCAAGAGGCCGGGAGCCGTCGCCGTCCGAAGACACTTCCGGGTCACGTGGCCAGTGTGACGTAGCTGCAGCTGGCGAGCCAGCACCAGCGCAGCACACAGAAATGCCGTTTACCTTCCCGCTATAAAGCAGTACCTATTTATCTACTTGCACTTCGACGTGCTTTCGAACTGCTAGGTGGGCAGGAGCTGGGACCGAACGATGGGAGCTCACCCCGCCGCGGGGATTTGAACTGCTGACCATACGATCGGCAAGTCCTAGGCACTGAGGTTTTACCCACAGCGCCACCTGCGTGGGTAAAAGGGTATAGGATGTCAATCAGGTCAACCAAAGGCCTGGTTAAAAAGGAACATTTTTGTCTGGCACATAAAGGTGTACAATGAAGACGCCAGGTGAACTTCCCTTGGGAGAGCATTCCACAGATGGGGAGCCACTGCAGAGAAGGCCCCGTTCTCGCATTGCCACCCTCTGGACCTCTCACGGAGGGGGCACACGAAGGAGGGAGTCAGAAGATGATCTCACCTGGTTGGCCATTGTGAGAACAGGATCCTGGACTAGATGGGCCATTGGCTTGATCCGGCAGAGCTCTTGTTATGTTCCCCTACGCACACATTCTACTACCTATTTTCTTGCCTCTGCCAAAGCAGAAGCGTAACAACCCGGCTGGCAGTGCAAATGGATAAGAGAGCCAAAAACAACCGCCGTTCCAGATTCATTAGCTCAGCGACTGTTTTGAGAGATGATGTGGCAGATTTTGGCAGGCAATGTGACTGTTGTGTCTTGAAGAAGAGTCAACAACAGACCTTTGTCCTGCTGCGTTTTGGGACAGATTCCTGCTCTTTGGACCTCCGTATAGACAGCAAACACCAGCTACCTCATCCTTCAGAGGTTAGCTGCTTGCTTCTCCCTGCTGCCCGGGGCGTAGTCTACCCAGTGAAAGCAATGCACTTGGCCACGTTTACTTTTGATCTAATAATCCATTGATTTCATAGAGCTGAATGGGACCCCCGAAGGCCATCCATTCCAACCGCTTGCGATGCAAGAATCTCAGCTAAAGCATCCATGACAAATGGCCATGCAACCTCTGCTTAAAAACCTCCAAGGAAGGAGAGTCCACCACCTCTCGAGGGAGACTGTTCCACTGTCGGACAGCTCTAACTCTCAGAAAGTTCCTCCTGGCATTTAGTCAGAACCCCCATCGTTCTACCTGGACACTGAGGTCCAGCGCCAAGGGCCTTCTCACCCTGTGAGAAGTGAGGTTCCTGGGAACCAGGCAGAGGGCCTTCTTGGTAGTGGCACCCGCCCTGTGGAACACCCTGCCACCAGATGTCAAAGAGAACAACTACTACCAGACTTTTAGAAGACATCTGAAGGCAGCCCTGTTTAGGGAAACTTTTAATGTTTGATGCATTACTGTATTTTAATATTTTGTTGGAAGCCGCCCAGAGTGGCTGGGGAAGCCCAGCCAGATGGGCGGGGTATAAATAATAAATTATTATTATTATAGTCGGAAACTCCTTTCTTGTCACTTGAATCCTCGGGCTCAGGCACCAAATCCAGCCTCCCAAGACTTTCTATCTGGCGCTTGGGATGCTCCTCAAACCACACACTTGCCAGAGAATTCCTTAAGAGACAACTGATACACATTTCAGTTCCTGTTTTCTCTGCCTTCAGGAGGTGCCTGTTGTCCTAGGAAACCCCAGAGGAGAATGCAAATAGCAGATCAGAAGGGAAAGCAGAATGATTGACATAGGTTTGTTTTTTGCTGGCTGCTTACCTGCCTTGGATATGCAGCGATAAATTTAAGTTTTCCATCACATGAGCCTCTGTGGATCCGACAATGTTAATACCTCGGACAGCATCTGAGGTAGAGAGGTTAAGAACCGTAAGTTTGTGCTTTGAAGGAAGAGCATTCGGTGCTGGTGTTAATGTAATTAGTATTCTGAGCAAATCTGAGAGGGATAACATTGGAAGCACAACAGCGGGGATCATTCGGCTGGCAACTTAAGGGTTAATTCTGTTGCCAACAGAATTTGGTTCAAGCTGTGCACAACCACCTATGCACAACCTGTGTATCTGCAAACAAATGCAAATACTCCAAAATGTGCCACAGACCTCCTTACAAAGGGAACCCAACCTCCCCGCTCAGCAAAGTGAGCACAGTTAAGCATGTGCAAAGTGCTTTTCTCACATCTCAACCAGATCCTCACAGCTGAGATTAGGGGAAGAATGCCCAGGCTAAAGAATGTTTTTTTCCTTCCTGGTGGGGCTGAGTTTAGATACGCTTTATTTCAGCGATGGGCAGAGATTCTGGAATCCAGCAAGCGAGAACATCTGAGGCCAGTTTGGGAAGGACACACACAAACATTGTGTCTTTCGATCTCTGCCAAGCTAGACTGGTGACTGGGAGCGGCCATTTAAACCATATAACACCGGTCCTGAAAGACCTACATTGGCTCCTGGTACGTTTCCAAGCACAATTAAAAGTGTTGGTGCTGACCTTGAAAGCCGTAAACGGCCTCGGTCCTGTATACTTGAAGGAGCGTCTCCACCTCCATCGTTCTGCCCGGACACTGAGGTTTAGCTCCAAGGGCCTTCTGGCAGTTCCCTCACTGCAAGAAGTGAAGTTACAGGGAACCAGGCAGAGGGCCTTCTCGGTAGTGGCGCCCACCCTGTGGAACGGCCTCCCACCAGATGTCAAGGAAATAAACAATCTGACTTTTAGAAGACATCTGAAGGCAGCCCTGTTTAGGGAAGTTTTTAATGTTTGATCTTCTATCGTGTTTTTATTGTTCTGTTGGGAGCTGCCCAGAGTGGCTGGCGAAACCCAGCCAGATGGGCGGGGTATAAATAAAAAAATATGATGATGATGATTTCTGAACCAATCCGGCATTACACTGAATGCTGCAAACTGTTCCTGTTCCATAGCCTACTCAAGAGTCTGTAGCTGCCCTGCCAATTTCAGGCTGCCCTTGGCCAGCTCCTCTTGTCTGACCTCTCACAACAGTTGTCCTACCTGCCACCTTCCTCCTCTGCCTCAGTGTCGCCCTTGTAGAACTCCGCAGGGAGGAGGGGGATGGGGACAAAAATAGAATTTGTTGGCTCTGGCTCTGCTCACTGTTGGTTTCCCTGCCTTTTGCGCTGCCGGTCCCAATAGGAGTCAGTGATCACTGATCTGTAGGAAAGGAGACCAAGCTGACTCGGGTGGCGTTTGTGTGCGGATCAGATCTCCTGAACTTGTGTTCCTCACAGACTAAAAGGGATGCTGAGTATAGCACTAGCTTTTCCCTGCCATTACCCATCAATTCCAACGCAGCAGAAAAATGCCCTGTTTTCTGGACCATCTTTCTTCGTTGCTCCATCCCGCTCCCATCTTGTCTCCATTCTGCTGCCACCTCCAGGTGCACGGTGCAAACCCCAACAGTAGGGTAATTGTGGTAGACGGTGGGGTATTCTGTTGTCATCTCGGTTCTGCAGGTGATGGGGAAACAGTGGAAATCAATTGTGTTTGTGTAGGCATATTATTTGATGGTTTCATTCATGAATTGCTTCCTATGCATCTTTAAGATCTGAGTAAGAAGAGACTATGCGCCATCTGGACTGTGGCCTGGATTCAGTGGTGGACTGGATCAGGGCCAATAAACTGTGTTTGAACCCTAAGGATACGAGATGAGCCTCTTGAATCAGGCTAATGACTTATCTAGTCCAGCATCCTCTTCTCCCAGTGGCCAACCTGTGAGAAACCCTCAAAGCAGGATCTGAGCATACAAGGACCCTCCCATCCTCTGGCCTCCAGCAGCTGGTATTCAGAAGCATTAGGGTCTCTAACTGTGGAGCCTGAGCATAGCCAGCATGGCTGGTGGTCAGAGGCACTGTGGTTGAGTGGTTCTTATGTCAAAGAAACTGGCCAGCCGTCTATTCTAGACATGTTCCAATCCCTCTGAAATGAAGATCTAGAGCAAGGGCTGGGAGATACCGTATTTTTCGTTCCATAGGACGCTCCGTCCCATAGGACGCACCTACTTTTTTGGGGGGGGGGATAAAGGAAAATTTTTTTCCTTTATTTCCCCCAAACTCAGGTCGAGGAACAGTGGGATGGCGGCGCTGCGCCTCCCAGTTGTCCCCCGAGCTTGTGGGGCTGGCCGATGTCTGCCCGGCGTGAGGGGCGCTCTGCTTCAGGGCACCCCACGCGCCGGGCGGCAGGCTGCAGACACCTGCGCGAAGCACGGGCGTCCTCCGGAGGGCGCCCCGTGCTCCGCGCTGCAGGCTACCGCCCGCAAGCCTTGCGCTCCCGGGAGATCCCCGGGCGCGCAAGGCTTGCCGACACCTGCGCGAAGCACGGGACGTCCTCCGGGGCGCCCCGTGCTCCGCGCGGCAGGCTGCGGGCCGCATGCCTTGCGCTCCCGGGGAGATCCCCGGGTGCGCAAGGCTTGCCGACACCTGCGCGAGCACGGGGCGTCCTCCGGAGGGCGCCCCGTGCTCCGCGCTGCAGGCTGCCGCCCGCAAGCCTTGCGCTCCCGGGAGATCCCGGGTGCGCAAGGCTTGCGGACACCTGCGCGAAGCACGGGACGTCCTCCGAGGGCGCCCCGTGCTCCGCGCTGCAGGCTGCCGCCCGCAAGCCTTGCGCTCCCGGGAGATCCCGGGTGCGCAAGGCTTGCGGACACCTGCGCGGGCACGGGACGTCCTCCGAGGGCGCCCCGTGCTCCGCGCTGCAGGCTGCCGCCCGCAAGCCTTGCGCTCCCGGGGAGATCCCGGGTGCGCAAGGCTTGCCGGCCACCTGCGCCGGGCACGGGGCGTCCTCCGGAGGGCGCCCCGTGCTCCGCGCTACAGGCTGCTGCCCGCAAGCCTTGAGTGCCCAGGGAACTCCCCGGGTGCGCAAGGCTTGCAGATAGCTCCTGGAGCCTGAAGAGCGAGAGGTGTCGGTGCGCACCGACGCCTCTCGCTCTCCAGGCTTCAGCGAAAGCCTGCATTCGCTCCATAGGACGCACACACATTTCCCCTTCATTTTTGGAGGGGAAAAAGTGCGTCCTATGGAGCGAAAAATACGGTATATCATCCAAAACTGTTTTGAAGTCCATATTGTGCTATCGGCTTCATAATTTTTGACCTGGCAATATATTGCAAATCATGATGTGTGTGTGCGCGCTATGCAAAAATCACGATATGGGAAAAACCGTGAAGCCAGCCAAAGCCTCTTCATAGCTATATTCTTATTTCAGATATTGTGATATATCAGTATAGCATAATGTTTAGCTAGTGATGTATCACAATGTTGAAAATCAGATATCAATTACGACTGTTCTTGGCTAGGGGTAGTCCAGTCACAGTGACTCATGCCTGGTAACCTCAATTCTTAATAACTGCAATGCAATGCTCTATGTGTGGTTATCATTCAGTGTGATCTCAGAGATCCACCTGGTGAGAAATGATGTTTGTGGGGGGGGGGGTCTGTTGGTAAGGATATATTAGTACAGGCATATAAATAATGGTCTCTGCTAAAATCTGTATAAATAAAGGGAGGGAAAGAAAAAATAGGGACATACCCATCTCCAAAATCCCATTTGTAAGTGAATGAAGCTGACTTGAAATAATTACTTGGGTCATGAAGTAAGAATGATACCCGGGTCAGGGCGCCTGTTGGAGATCGGGAGTCAACTTTGTCATGGTCCTCTGTTTGGGTAATGGACAGATTCCCTACTATAAACTCTGTCGGGGGGAAAAATACAAAGAATATATTTAGTCATCTGAAGCTCTCTCAAAGACCTTCCCATCTAATGAGAAAATCTCTCATTTATTCTTTTTGAGGATAGGCAAATACTGGGATTTCCCCAGCTTTGATCAAGTTTAATTGGTACATGGTATCAACTAAAACTTTAAGTTGCTCATCAGGGGGAAGCACATTTTAAAGGAGAAAAAAAAGATCTGAGCATTGGCTGAGACTAAAAAGTGGCAGAATGGACGCCAACCGCAATAAGCAGCTGCACAGACCAATTCTATATCTCTGTCCACCCTTCCTCTTAGACAGGAAGGAATATAAGAGGACTTCCTGTTCCAGCTGAGCGTTGCTTATGCAACAGTGTCATCCTTAGCTCGGCTGTGTCTTCCAAACTTGGCTATGCAGTACTTTAGTCCTGACATGGCTTGCTGCTTCTTTGTTCACCCTGTGGTTCTTCTGTGGTCCTTACCACTGGTTGGTCCCATGATCCCTGGCTCACCCCAGCCAAGGCCTGGCAATGGCAGAGGGCCCTCGTCAATTATGTGGGTCAGCAACAGAGATGAGCTTTGGCGTTGTATTGAGAAAGTATTTTTTTTGGAAAAGGCAACGGTCACAGGGGAAGGCTGTCCCAGAGTCAGGAAGGATTGAGAGGTGTCTGAGAAGTGATGAGCCTAGGAGAACCAGCATTGTAACGTTCTTGGACGTAGTGGGAGTTCAACATGGCCAGTGGCTTCCCAGGTCCAGCCACTGCCATCAAGGAAACCCTAGTCAGGTGAGTCATGGACAGGTAGACAAGATCACAGGCAAGGGTGGAGAGTCCACCACAGATACTGCCTCCCTTCAACCTAGAGCTGGCCCTGTAGGACATCTTCAGAAGCACTGTACGAGACCCCCTTCTCTTACAGGAAAACATAATAAAATATGCACATTTTACCTGACACCTCTAACACCGTTAGGTTTCTTGCAATGGTCTGACAGAGCCAGCAGTCTGCGTGCATCACCTGAACGGAAACAGGAAAGACTCCTGGAAATGGGCTGGTCACTATAATTGTGGAGTCCGCACCATGCCCGGAGCTCTCTACCAAAGTCAAAGGGGCATAAACCCAGTTGAAATGGTACTTCCGGTCACTAACGGGTGAGTTGCCTCCATCCTTCATACGCAACGTGGAATGAATCGTAGCCTGTGCTTCTGTCGTGATGGGGCCGTCATTGGTAAGGTCCAAGTCATACAGGACTGAAGAAATAAAATCAATGCATACGATTTCAGAAATTCACAGTGCAATCCTAACCATACTGACTTAGAAGTAAATTGAAGCCCTGTTGAATTCAGTGGGATCCCAGGTAAGACTGCAGCCTTAGCTATGGCAATAACAAAGCCAGGATGTTTTCATTTCCTAGGCACACCATAGAGGAACTCATAGTTGCTGTTTGTGGTCCCCTGTGGCTCAGATGCACAGCTCATATCTACTAGGAGCTGTGTATTCAACATTGCGGGCCCAGTTTTGCAAAACTTCCGCCCTGCAGCGAACATATAGGACCACGCCCTGTTGAACTTGGGGAAGACTTCATGATAATTATTATTTCAGCAGGCATTTCAAGTTTTTCTTTCTCCTAGTTTTGCTCTTACTTTTAAGTAACTTTTATGATGCATGCTCTATCCCTACTGAATGCTGCTTATGCAATATGGCATTAAGCTGTGCATGTACTACAGTCGTACCTTGGTTCTCAAATGCCTTGGTACTTGGACGTTTTGGCTCCTGAACGCCAAAAACCAGGAAGTAAGCGTTCCGGTTTTCAAACGTTTTTCGGAAGTTGAACGTCCGACACGGCTTCTGCTCGAGTGCAGGAAGCTCCCGCAGCCAATCAGAAGCTGCGCCTTGGTTTTCGAATGGTTTCAGGAGTCGAACGGATTCCAGGAATGGATTAAGTTTGAGAACCAAGGTTCCACTGTATTTAAATAAATGAATGATAGATTTTTCTTCTGAACCCAAAATATTTTCTGGGCAGGCGACAACTTGAGAATGAGCAACACTGGTTAGATATTAGTTGGATGGATTCATCTTGCTTTAAAACTGCAAATGATAAATGCGACTTCGAGCCTGGTGTTAATTTTGTGTTGATACTGATCTGGACATCTGGAGGGCTTTTATTAACTTAGATGTTAACCTTAAGACATATGTGCTGATAACTATTGTATCTGTAATGTGAACGAATGGTGGGGTGTTTTTTTTTTGTTACTATTGGTATTATTTATATATTATTTTTGTTTTTTATTGCCTTTAATTCTTTCACCCCCCCCGCCTTCCTTTTCTTTGTTAAACGTTAATAATAATAAAACATGATAAATTGGATCCTTGAGCTTCTAAGACCTTCGCAAAATGTTCTTCTGGAGACCAGCAGGCCAGTTCTTTGACTCAGCAGAGTTTTCTCTCTCACCTAAGGATAAATACACTGTACCACATTGCCTGGATTCCTAATGTTCCTTTACCCTGCCATAACTGATGACAAATGTTAACACACCAGTGTGATGAACAAATCCAGGAGTGTGATAAATCGCAAACTATTTAAAGCCAGCTCTTCGAGAAACTGTACTTTCTCCTGCCACTTGGTTCCAAACCTTGGAGGGTGAAAAATGGGCAGGGAACGTAACGTATTGGTATATGGTATATGGATGCTGCTTTTTGCTGATTTTATTATTACCGTATTTTTCCGTGTATAACATGCCCCTGTATATAAGACACCCACTTTTTTGGGGGGGGACTCCAAATTAAGAAAATGGGGGGATACACTATCCATGTATAAGACGCCCCCAATTTTTAACATAACTTTTTTTAAAAAAAACAAAACCTAGTCATATACATGGAAAAGTACGGTATATTTTTTATACTGCCTTGACATAGTTTGAAGATGGGAATTATAATATCTACATGGTGCCTAGGGAACAACTTGTACCTTAATATCAGCAAGACAAAGGAGATGGTGTTGGACTTTCGGAGGAAGAGAGGAGAACTAGTCCCGCTGTACATCGGGGAGGGCTGTGTGGAGAGAGTCTCTTCCTTTAAATTCCTGGGAGCTTATCTCAGTGAAGACCTTACTTGGAAAATCAATACAACCCAGGTGGTTAAGAAAGCCCAACAGAGACTCCATCTCCTCAGAGTATTGCGGAAGAACGATGTCAGTCAACATCTGATGATCTCCTTCTACCGGTCCACAATAGAAAGTGTCCTTTCATACTGCATCACGGCTTGGTACGCTGGTTTGACATCATCCAATAGGCAGTGGCGTAGCGTGGGGGGTGCAGGGGGGGCCGGCCGCACCGGGCGCAACATCGGGGGGGGGGGCGCGCTCGCACTCCCAGCTCTCTGCCCCTACCTGGCTCACTCACTCTCTCTCACTGCAGTGCTGGCTGTGCGAATCCGATCCGAGCCGCTGGGTCGCCGCCCACTGTGGAGGGGGTGGGTGCCAGTCGTGCGGTGCGGAGAGAGAGCGAGGGACTATCTGGGGGAGGGACAGTGCAGCGGCCGCCCAGCGCAGCGCTGAGCGCTGGAGAGAACCACACCAGACCAGCCCAGGCAGCAGCAAGAAGCAGCTGGCAGCGGCGGCAGATTAGGGGTTAGGGGGCGCAAATTACTTGCCTTGCCCCGGGTGCTGACAACCCTGCCGATAGGAAGTGCCTACAGAGGGTGGTGAATACCACACAAGATATTATGGGCTGTCCTGTGAATCCGCTGGATGAAACAGCGGAAGAACGTTGCCTCAGGAGAGTGAGGAAAATTCTCAGGGATGATTCACACCCTGGCCGGCACTTTCTGGATCTCCTGCCTTCGGGCAGAAGATATAGAAGCATGATTAGTCGCGCCAACAGGGTAAAGAACAGCTTCTATCCATGGGCTGTTAGGCTGCTGACTGAAAAGATAACAACAGGGCAACTGACTTTTGGGTTTGGTGTGTGTGCGTCAGTAAACGAGGGGAATTAAGACTAAGAGAGCTGAGTGGGGGGTGCTTGTGTAATCTCACTGTATACAAGTTGTAAAGTGACAATAAAGTATTTCAATTTCAATTCCAATAAACACATGAATGAATAAAATAAATATTGGACCACTATTTCCCCTGTCCTCTGTGCATCGGGGGCGGGGCACACATTTTCCAGCCTGAGGGCCACATTCCCCCATACATAACCATGTGGGGGCCACATGTCAGTGGTGGATGGGGCCAGATGCCAACATGGGCAGAGCAAATTGATGTGATAGTCACCTTTGTACAATAGATTACATACCAGCCATGCAAAAGCCAGAGGTGTTTTCTCTCTCTCTCTCTCTCTCTCTCTCTCTCTCTCTCACACACACACACACACACACACACATCACACACACACACAGCCTCTTTTTGGCTTCCTTCCAGGCAAGTGAGAGCCACCACAATTCACAGACATATTCCAGCCAGGTGAAAACATTCAAGGGGTGTTGGGCCTGTCAGAGTGGGTGTAGCCCATGAAGAATTCCAAGGGCCACAGAGAGATGCTTCAAGGGCCGTATTTGACCCCAGAGCTTTATCAGAGCAATATCCTGCTGAGCTGAATGGTCATGACTTTGGAAAAGAAACGAACATCTGCCCTCTGTACATAAAGCAAATTTTGTAATTGTAGAGTTAAAGCCATCAGATCTGTTCAGCATGTTAACAGAGTACGGACTCAGTGACCGGGCTGTTTCCAAATGTTTGCGTTAGCTTAAGAATACTATTAACAATTCCAGCAGCAGCAGCAGCTTCTGGAAAGAGGTCATTTAACAAAAAGCAAGCTAATAAAGAGTTACAATCAGGAACATCTTGTGGATTTGGCCGGGCTACTGAACCAAACAAACATTGCCAGGACAATCAATTTTCACGTGGTGACTGGAAATTTTTTCCACAAAAAGGCCAGAAAAGCATTTTTTATAAAGTGAATAGTAAGTTTATCTACCTTTCTAAAACTAAAACTGTCTTCTGATGGCCTGGTCTGCATTGCAATATAAAATAATGTTTCAGTGTGAATTCTTTCTCCTCATCTGTATTACAGCGTAAACAAAGATGTTCAAATCAAACGTTCAAAATTCCTCTCAGAGGCCCTGTCCCTAGGATTAAAGTTTCTGATGTAGAACTGCTGTTTTTCGCTCTTTTCCCCCAATGGAGAAATGTCCTGGGTGAGAGAAACTCCTGCCACGCCTTCTTCCATCTTGCACAGAAGCAGAACATAGAGCCATCAACCTCAGAGCTGCGAAAAGCCATCTCTTCCTCCAGACAGTCACTGTCCACCAACTCGGATGCCATTTATTATCTTTTAACCCCACCGGACCCTGAGATGTAAGGCAATTCTTGCCTGCCCTTCTTCTAGAGGTCTGGAATATAATGGAAATGAACGGTGCAGTGTGGAACCCTAGATTTAAATGCAGCCCCTTGAATGCCAGCCAACACACCTTGATATTTATAGCCTTGCTCTTGTGCTGGGATGCTGGCAGAATAAAATCTCCGGTGCATGTATGCATCTCAGAGTATACAAATCACATTGCTTCCCTTAGACATAAAGAGCTGACCAGTCTTACCTGATGCTGATCTGACATGGCAAAGGAGCAGCACACTGCAAACTACCTTGGAGAGGATCAGAGAGGCAAGTGTCTGGGCCATTTAGAAAACAGCTTCCAAAGGAAATGTCATCGGCTTGGCTCCCGCAATTGCTTAGCTCCGGCAGCCAGGCTTCATCTTCAATTGTGCTAGCTTGCCTTAAGGAGGAGACGGCCAAGTATCAATGGCAGGTGCTGCCCCCTAAGGGCAAGCTGGTTGTACTTACACATTGTTCCTGCGCGGCAGATGCGGGTCACATCCCATCCCTGCAGAAATGTTATTCCTAGGTTTGTTTGTTTTTGTTTTAGATTAAAAACAAAACAAATATACAGAAACGACAACCCCCAGAATATTGTGGCTGGGGAAAGCTGCTGTTCTTTCTTTCTTTCTTTTAAATAAATTATGTTTACTGAGTTTTAGAGAACATACAGGAAGCACAGAATATAGGCAAAATCTGAAATCAACAGATTCACCTGTCCCTAAAATTAGGGGTAGGAAGGAGGAGGAATGAAAAACTGGATGGCAAGTATCAGGAAGAGTGGATTAAATTTAATGATTATCTAGTTAAATTTGTTAAGTTAAATTAACTGAAAACAGCTTGCAGATACTTAATTGGCTTAGGAATTTATTTATGTTAAGTGATGAATTAACATGTTTAATTCCATAAGGTGAAGATTTAAGGATGTTAATGTTTAAGTTAAATTTCATAAGAATTGGGATTTGGAAAACTGTTAAAAGGACATGCAATGAAATTCAACCAAGGGGAAGCGAGGAAGTCACTTAACAAAGTTAATAAGTGTAATTTTCAATAAGGCTATGATTTATGTTTGTTTGTCTTGTGTGTTTGTTTGTTTGTTTGTTTATAATATTGTGAAAACGAATAAAAAATTTTGAAAAAAAGAAAAAGAAAAACTGGATGGCAAAGGCGATGGAATGGAAGAGGGCAGGGCTGACTGAGTGGAACATTGAACTGCTCCGCTACACTGCAACATTTTGTTGCAGGTCACATATTTATTTCCAGTATGATGCAGAATGCAGGTTGCTAGCACTGCATCCTTAGGAAATGATCTCAATACCAAACATTCAAAAATAAAAAATTCACATTCCTATGCATATTCCTTTTCTAATTGATTTTGGTTTTTAAGTTGTAGCATCCTTCTGTTTCCCCCCCCCCATTTATTCTGCCACACAAGGACCTTATATGATACAATTATGACTAAATATGAAAGTTAAATAATATTCTAATGCTTTAGGACAGATGTTTTGGACTACCCATCAGCCCCAGCCAGTCAGATTTGGAGTCCTGCTCTGGGTTGCTGAAAGCATCACATACAGTAGCTTTACAGTCATCCACACAACAACCCTGTAAGGCTTGTCAATATTAATATCTCCACATCGCAGGTGTTAGATTGAGGGTGACTGAGCATGGCGTGCCTAAAACAATGTGATTAAAGGAAAGCAGTGAAATTTCAACTGGGCTTCTATGGTATTAAAATTTATCGTACTTTAGAATTATAATCTCTACTCTTCCTTTCCCCATGTATCGCTAGCGTCATATACACATCTACTTAGAAGTATGGCATATTGAATTCAATGGGGCTTACTGATCAGTAAGAGATGTTAGGATCGCAGCCTTACTTTTCTTGAAAATTAAGGAACTAATAACGTTATTGCTTGTGGCAGCCGGACAACTGATTGCACAAAACTGGAAAAATTGAGGGTACTTGCAACTTTCCATATGGAGACAAAATGGATAGACAGTGGTGGCATTAATGGAGAAATTTAGAAAATATATGTAAGCTCCAAATGGAACTCAAGACTCCCAACAACTGTATGGAATTATGGTTTCCTTTCATTACTTTCCTGTCTGACAATCTATAAAACTGGCATCTTTCATCTACGCATGGACCATAGTTGTTTAATGTACTTCGTTAAATTCACGGGTGAGAGGTGGGGGCGAGTTTTGTTGTTGTTGTTAAGTTTATTGATGTATAGGTATGATTTTGATGCTTAACATTGAGGAAAAAAAGGAAGATAAGGTCTACGCAATCACTTTGCACACCCTTATTACAGAGCACGCCCTATTGAACGTAGAAGCACGTCCAAGTAAAGATCTATACAGTATAGGATTGCCCTGCGCGCCCCACTGTTTGCATAGGATTGCCCTGCGCGCCGAGGGAAGCGGGGAGGGGGAAAAAAGACAGCAGCGCGCTGATTGGCGGACGAAGGGCTAGAAGAGGGACGGACATAAATATAGGAAAAGTCGGAGAGTGACCATGCAACCTAAACTTCCGGTGAACAATTGAAGGCTCCGAATCTCTATGGCGTGAAGCGGCGCCGCTCTGGCTCTCAGCCGCTCATTGAGGAACCCCGCCCCTTTTTCTGACATTCCTTTTGCCCTGAGAGAGCGGAAAGCCAGTTTTTCGACGGGAGGCCGGAAGTAGTAGGAGCGCTTCGCTCTGTTTCTTTCGTATCTCTATAGCGAGGAGAGCTAACCGGAAGTGGCGCTTGGTGTGCTTCCGCTTTGGGGTGGGCAAGCAGCAGGGGGAGGCAGGCGGGCAGGCGAGGACAGGCGCCCATGCGCCGCTGGTGCCGCCGTCGCTGCTCCGGCCACAGCTGCTGCGCGGAGGCAACAAAGGAAGGCATGAAGGAGCCGCGCGGCCTGGACTGGTGAGGGGAAAGTGGGGGAGGGGAAACGGAGAGAAAACGGGGCGAGGGGAAAGGGGAGGGGGGACAAGAAAGGAGGGCGAGGCTAGTCCCCCTCCCGTTCTGAGAGGAAAGTGGGCGTGGCTGCGGGAGCTTCTGAGGGAGGCCGGAGGAGGCGGGGTTTCTGCTGTGGAGGGAAGAAAGGGGCGGGGCCGAGCGCACGGGAGCCGAGGATTGGTCCGCCGCTGCGCGCGTGGCCTGCGAGGGGGAGGAGTCAGCCGAAGGCGCTGAGGGGCCCCTGACGCCTCGTAGAGGTTAGAGTGGCTTTTCCCTCACCTGCTCTCCCGCCTTCTGGGTGGCTGCTGGACTACAGCTCCCATCATGCCTCGCCGCTGGCCACGCTGGCTGAGGCTGATGGGAGATGGAGTCCCCACGGGGGGGGGCAGGAAGTTGAGGGACTGAGCTCCGAGGAGCTCCGAGTTCGAATCCCCACTTGCCCGTGACCCGCTGCCACTCGGCCTAACCTACCTCACAGGGGGGTAGTTGTGCAGATGACGTAGTACGTGCGTCTTATGTGAAAGGAGAACGGGTGGGGGTAAGGATGGAAGGGTCCGGCGTGGCAGACTTGGTGGCCGTCACTGCCTCCTGTGGGAGCCAGTTCCATAGCTTCAACTAAAATAGTGAAGATCCGGGTTCAAGTCTGCACTGGTTGACTTTTAGGCAAGCAGCTCCTGCTCTGCCTAACTTCCTTACAGGGTTGTTGTGTGGATAAATGGTGGGCTTGTGCGTGCGCATGGGTGGTGGTAGAACCATGCATACTCACTTGGGAGTTCAAGGAAGTCCAACCAGCTGTGCTTCCTTTTAAGACCTGGCACATTGTGGTTGTAAGATTCTGCAGGTATGATTTAAGTTGAGATTCTTGCATTGCAGGGGGTTGGACTGGATGACCCTTGGGGTCCCTTCCAACTCTGTGATTCTATAGCCTGAGGCAGAATGGGAGGGGAGATGGGTTGCTCCTTTGGAGAAGTGAAGTGAGAGCAGTTTAGGTGGCTAAGAACATAAGAGCTTTGCTGGATCAGGCCAGGGGCTCATCTAGTCCAGCATCCTATTTGTATAGTGGCCAGCCAGGGGCTGGTGGGAAGCCTGCAAGCAGACCCTGAGCTTGACAGCACTTTTACCATCCTGCCATTTCCAGCAACTGATACTTAGAGGCATACTGCCTCTGACAGCAGCGGTTTTGTAGATTGTATATGGGCAGGGGGTCTGTTTGGCAAACAGTCCAAAACAGAGGCAAGCTTTCATGTGGAAGGGGTTTGTTTGTTTATATACCACCCTTCAATGTAAGATCTTATGTTGAATTGGAATGGAGCTGGAGAGAGGAAGCATTTACTGTATATCCTTACTTGCCAAAATTTGTATCCTGGCGAACAGGGGATGTGTCTTTCTCCATTTATCCTCCTTACAGCACTAAGGTTTGCCTTAGACCAGACATGTTACTTTTGAATTTCAGTGTGTAAATTTCAGTGGCAAAAATTTGTCCCAGTGCTGAAACATATTTGTTTAAATGGCAGGATTTCTCCTGCATTAAAACAGCGATTGCTGTCATGCTCCCATGCTACTGTGTATTGTTTAAAACCCAGCTATTTTAATGCGTGTGAACTGTTACCAATTGAAAACATCACATGTTTGCCCTGGTTGTGTTATGGCCAATGACTGAAATTGGGGAATTGAACCTTTACAAGTTTTCCAGTAGTCTTTGAGGTTTTTTAAGGTTTTTAACAACAACAACAACTGGTTTAGCTCCAATAATACTTTGCATGATGGGTTGTATCCAACAAAGTTCTATTCAGTGTAGACACAACTGAAATTAATGCACTCAAGTTAGTCATGTCCATCAATTTCAGTGGATTGATTCTGAGTAGGACTAACATTGGCTACAGTACAGCCTTAATATATTTTATATAGAACGATTACCCTGTCACCTGATTAAATAAACATTGATTGAGCAATTGCATGGAAATGTTACTAAGTGTAATTAGTTTTCAAGTAAAGAATCCCACTGGCTTTAGTTCTAGAGATGATACACAAATGCACCATAGCAAGCACTTTAGAACAGAAGTGGGCACCCTTTGTGGCACGTTTGTGTTCCTGGGTCTAAGCCCGTGTGTTTTTAAAGCAGCCTTTCCCAACCTAGTGCCCTCCAGACATTACAACTGCCATAATCCTTGACCACTAGCCATTACTTGGTTAAGGATGATGGGAGTTGTAGTTCACAGCACCTGGAGGGCATCATGTTGGCTGACCGTCTTGTCTGGCCAAACACTGTAGCCCTAAGAATGATTAATGAAGGACTTCCAACTACTGCAGTGGAATGCCTACAAAATAAATATATGGCAAACTGAAGTCATTTCCTTGCAAACAAGCCTTTGCTTTTGTTGTTGCTTAATTTGATATGTTTATTATTAGTTTTGGCTTTTTGTGTCTTTATTCTTTTGCTGCTGCTTTTAGGCCGGTGATGGTGTTTTTAAATAATTGATCATTGCTATTTTTGTTCTTCTTTTTATCTCTCTAAAACTGCTTCAAGCAACTTCTTTTTGGAAGAGAGAACTGGGATAGGAGTTTTTGATATAAATAATAATTTATATAACAAATATTTTGAGAGGAAAATTAAAACATCTTATTCAGATGCACATATGCCCCACCCTCAAAACTTTTGTCAGTCGTATTTGACAACAGAAGGGGCAGAATTCATTTCAGTCCCCAAATAATTATTTCAATGTCACACATGAAAGGAAGGAAAACATTAGCTCATTCCATAAGTCGAAGCGCAGGAAGTATAGTGCCATTACGTCATTCTGTTCTGCAGTCACATTTTGGCTACTGCTTAATCTCAGAAAAGTACAGAAAAGGCCTTTTAGAGAACGCAGATCTGACTACGGTTCAACATGCCATGGTCACATCCAGGTTAGATTACTGCAATGTGTGGGGTTGGTTGTCTTTGAAAAGTGTTTGGACATTTCAGCTGCTTGCAAAATGTGGCAGTGGGAGCTTTGGGTCCTTATACAGCAAAACTTGAATTGCCGTATTTTTCGCTCTATTGGATGCATAGGAGGGGGAGAACAGGGGGAAAAATTTCTCCTCCCCTCTACTCAGCGCCCCGTCAGCGAAGCGGCAGGAGAAACGGAGCCCCTTCCATTTCTCCTCCCGCTTCACTGAAGGGGTGCTGCGCAGAGAGGGAAAACTGTGCAACGCCTCTCCAGTGAAGTGAAGCCTGGAGAGCAAGAGGGATCTGTGTGCACCGACCCCTGTCGCTCTCCAGGCTTCAGGCGGCTATCCACAAGTCTTCGGAGCGCAGCAGGAAGGCTTGCGGATAGCTGCCTGAAGCCCCTGGAGCACAGCGGGACTCTATGCACTCCGGGAGCTTCAGGCGGCTTCAGCGAAAGCAACGCGAAGCCAAGGAGCACGGGGGGAGCTCTCCCTCTGCGCTTCGGAGGCTTTGTGTTGCTATCACTGAAGCCAAGGAGCCTGCATTCGCTCCATAAGATGCACATACATTTCCCCTTAATTTCTGAAGGGGAAAAAGTGCGTCTTATAGAGCGAAGAATATGGTATTTAGATAGTGTGCCAGAGGCCTGCTCATGTTTGGACCTAGGTGAGCAGTTCCTTATGCAAAGGTGAAATTCAATGCATGAAGGGCAATTGAAGCATCCTATGTGGGTGGTTGGAGTGATCCTGGTATCCCACTATGCGTGTGTTTACACCGGGCTTCAGTATAGCTGAAGGAGCTTCTGTATATCTGATGAAGCGTCTCTACGACCATCTTTCAGCCTGGACATTGAGGTCCACCTTTTGAGAACCTTCTCAGCGGTAGTACCCTCCCTGTGGAACACCCTCCCATCATATGCCAAGGAGATAAAGAATTACAAAACTTTTAGAAGACATCTGTATCGGGAAGTTTTTAATGTTTGTGACATTTTATTATTTTTTATATTTGCTGGAAGCCGCCCAGAGTGGCTGGGGATACCAAGCCAGATGGGTGGGGTATAAATTATTATTGTTTGATAAAGTAGCGTTGCATTTTGTTTTTAACAGGCTGACTGATCCTTGAGGTCTTTAACTCTTCTTTGTAAGTGATAACTTACATTCAAACGAGGGAAAAATGGCATTTGTTTCAACGCAAGGACCCACTGTGGTTGACCAAACCACTTTAATGAAAAAATACCTCCAGTTTGTGGCAGCTCTAACGGATGTCAATACACGTAAGTTTATTTTCAGGTTTTTTCTTCTATTTTTGCTTCCTCTGCTAGACGAGTTATTCACACTGGCCTAGTGCAGGTGTATCACTGGCTCTTGCAAATTGCAGCCTGCAAATCAGAACCGAAATTTGGGAATGTGCTCAACCTTCATATTTCTTGTCATATGTGAATTCTTATTGGTCTTAAGCACAATTTTGAATTTTATCTGTACTAATCCTGAGCATTCTTGATGCTAGCAGGAGTCCCCATCTTCACCGCAGTGTGAAGTCTTAAGTTTGAAGTGGGTTTGCAAACCTTGGGTGAAGAGTGAACCTGGTTAGCATTCACTTTAGGTAGTAGCATTGCTGTAGAGTGAATGCTAGACTGTGATTAAGGTCCTCAGGGAGAAAAGGAAATTGTTTTGTAGTGTGAAGGGAATATGGGCCCGAGGTTGGTTCATGACCAAGAAATCAGGATTTGGAGAGAGCCAGAGTTGTGTCTGCACCAGGCCATGGTTCAGTAAACTCCGCCGTCACTTTAAGCTTTGCTTTAATGAAGAAGCAAAATGATGACAAATATTTTCTTGAACCCTGAAAAAGTAACCTTGTGTGTGACTGAGTGGAGATGGACGAGTGCAGGTGTGTTTGAGTGAGAGTTGTGATTTGTGGAATTCACAATTTGGGTCATGAGAGCCAAACTGATAAGATCTGACTGCTTCTTGGAGTGCGGTCAAAGGGCATTTCTTCAATATCTGTCAAACATGTCGTTAATTTTTTTTTCCTTTTTATTATTCCATTCTTGATTTGTAGCGGATGAAACAAAGCTGAAGATGATGCAGGAAGTCAGCGAAAACTTTGAGGTAACGAAAATCAGATCGCTGTCTTACTGATCTAAACATTGTAGACCTTTGTGGAGAGATTTCCAACAATAATTATGTAAGGTGGCTTCTCTACTAGAGACCACCCAACTGAAATCTGATCAGGACAGTTAAAATTGTCCCACGCCCCCAAATCTACTTAGGCTTGGTGCAGAGACACAAATCAAGCCAGCCTTGAATATAACATGTTTGCTGTGAGCTCATAGCCCACCAGGTATACCATACAGGTGAGTTTTGATCTGGTGGAGGAGGGACAGATTGTTCCATCTCTCCTTCAGCAGTCTGCTTGGTTTCTGTGCTGGCCACAGAGGAAGGAATTTTTTCCCCTCCTTAACCAACCCAGAACCACAGTGAACTGGTGGAGCAGGGGTGAATCCCTCCATCATTCCACTGCTATCCTGGTTGGTAGGTTTTGTTTTTGTTTTAAAAAACTATTCTGCTAAGAGGCCAGTAATCTGCATTTCCAAGCTGGCCACAGTGAAGGGGGCTTCTTCTTTTTGCAGCCAGCATTGCAGTGCAAATCACAAGTATGCTAGCAAATTTTCTTTTGTAAGAGGAGCAGGCTACTTACTTTTGTGGGCTTGCTGAAACACACTGAAGTTCAAGTATTGGGAAGGAGACAGTGGGATTGCAAGTTTGTTGGCCATTTGCACAGCGCTCTATTTCAGCCTGGCAATATGTATGCGTTGTCCTCAAAACGAGCGAAATAGCAGCTTGAAGAATTTTTGGCTTGTTTTGTTTTAGTAGCTGCAGCAGCTTGAAGTGGTTGGCTATGAAACCTTTGACTGCCATGCTTTCACTAAAGTGCTTAATTCCACATCGCGTACATGTTTGAAATAAGGATCCTTAAAACGTTTTCTCCTACTAGAATGTGACGTCATCCCAGCAGTATTCCACATTCCTGGAACACATCATTCCTCGCTTCCTTACTTTTCTCCAGGACGGAGAGGTTCAATTTCTGCAGGAAAAGCCAGCACAGGTATATTTTGAAATGAACTCTTCTCTTTCTCTCAGGCTTTGTCTTTCAATGAGTCCTTTTGGCAAACCAGAAGGAAGCTTTGTTATTTATGCATATTGGGATTTTATCTGTGTTTTTCTTTAACATGTTCCTCAAGCTGTTAGGGCTTTACCGTATGACTTTTCACTGATCATTTTGATTTGATGACCCTCCTTCTTTTATCCCTCCCCAGCAACTGAGAAAATTAGTTCTGGAAATAATCCATAGAATACCAACAAATGAACATCTTCGACCCCACACCAAAAATATCTTATCTGTGATGTTCAGATTTCTAGAGGTACTGTACTTTAAAAATATAATCTTAGCAACATTTTTTTTTTTTTTTAGAATTACTCCTGTTGTGGATTTACCTACCTTTGAAAATTCATAACTGGAAAGATAACTAGAAGTGATGGAGTACTATTTAAATGTCACGTGTTGTTCTGTTATTCCAACGTGCTTGTATATGAGACACTTAATGCAGCGAATGAGAGCCCTTAGGGGCAAGTGAAAAATAGACCGTTTTCATTTGATGTGGCATAAAAAAAAAATCCTTTGCCAACTCAGATGTGAATGCACCAAACCTCCAATTTTCCAGGTTACTTGTGTGGAGAGGTTTTGTAGAAGATTAACCTACTTTCTTATTCCTCTCTATGATCACTGTGTAAAACTGCATTGCATGTTTTTGCTACATCCTGGTTTTCCCCTCCTCCTTTCCTAATTTATTATGTTTTATTGTTGTCCCCATTGTTGTGAAAAGTCTCTATGTTTTTTATAATTTTATTTATAGTTTTTGTTTATATACATTTCAATAGTTTAACAATAGTTCTAACATTTCAAACCTCGACTTCCTTCCTTCCTCTTTCTGTAGTTCCTTAAATTTATTTTATCATTTCCTGCATATTCTAAATTAACAACTTAATCTTTTATTCATCTATTTTGATTATATGTTCTTTTGAAACTGCAGGGTATTACAGTAATTCTGCCAGTGTCTTTATCTGTTTACAATTTGTTTGTAAATATTCAATAAACCATTTCCCATCTTTTATACATAAATAAATTTCTGTACTGTTTGGGTAGTTCTACACCTATAATTCCCAAGAGAAAAGCTTCTTCTTCTTCTTTTTTATATTACAAATGTTACCTTGAACATCTTTTCCAGTTTATTATATATCATTTCCCAGTAAGCTTTAACTTTACTACAAGACCACCACATATGATAAAAAGTACCTTCTTTTTCTTTGCATTTCCAACACTTATTCGATTTTGATTTATGCGTTTTTGGCAATCTACTAGGTGTTAGATACCATCTATATAACATTTTCATGTAATTTGTGAAAAGTCTCTATGTATCTTGGGCTTCTTCTCTCATAACAAAATGACAATAAAGATTATTTTTAAGGAATTACTGTTTCACAGAAGCAAATAAACTTTTCTGAATAATTCAGAAACTATGACAACTGTAACATTATTTTAAAAGTTCAGGAATTCAGTCATGAAATAATAAATCTGTTCTCTTTCCCCCTACACTTAGACTGAAAATGAAGAAAATGTACTTATTTGTTTGAGGATAATCATTGAATTGCACAAGCAGTTCCGGCCACCAATCACACAAGAGGTAAATTACTTTCCCCTGTACTATTAAAGTTTTATTTTTGTATTACTACTTGGATATGTTTGATTTGTGATTTTGTATTGCAGAGGGTTGGACTAGATGAACCTTGGTGTCCTTTCCATGCCTACAGTTCTATGATTCTGTGCTGTTATATTAGAAACATAATCTAATAATAATTGAAAATGCAATGGAAAAGAATTGTACCAGTGCTGCTGTCTCCTTATGAAATCTCTGGGAGGTTTCAGAAACCTTAGAATATTGTAATTAAGTACTTAAGCTTCAAGTTATGAGAAAAAGTGCATACAGTTGTGGATTTTATGGATAGATTTCATAAATTATTAGAATACTTGTAAAGGAATCATTTGCTTTCTGTTTTACTATTATAGTACACACTATCTTATTGGATGAGTCAACTTAGGCTGCAATTGTGTACTCAGTAAGAAGCCCTATTGAACTTCATTGGGACTTCCTTCTCAGTAGATGTATATAGGATTGTGCTGTTAAGTTCACATAAGGAAGGGTCTTGTCCCCTCCTTTTACCTATGCTCCCCTCTGTCTCTCTGGAGTGTGGGGTGTGTGTTATTCAGCAGGGGTGCGATCTACTCACAGAGTTAAAAACTGGCAGTGATCTACCCCCTTTTCTGGGGTTCAGGTCAAAGTTGTTGAGCTTTTTTGGGGGGTGCAGGGCAAGGTTGCTCCATCTTTCATGTGACAGCGCTTTAGATATTTGAAGATGGCTATCATAACTCCTCTTATCCACCCTTACTGGTGGTCTGTTCCTTTTGAGCAGGTTATACCCCTCTAATTCTTCTTTCCATTTATGAGTCTCCTCTCACCAGGTTTCAGTAACGCTTATTAGGTCATATTTGCCATCCTGCATTAAGGGCTCAAATTCATCTTGCTTGTTTCACATACTGTGCTTTAGTATAGAGACAATTCAGATCACTTGTTGGAATTCTAAGTTCCCAAATTAAACTTAGGCATGGCCAATGCATAAAATAATTGAGCAATGGGTTCTGCATCGCTAAAGGACTTGGGTCTGAGTTTCTTAAACAGCTCCATCCTACATATCCATGAATACTGTTGTATCGGTGTAAGTTGGCAAGAGAGCGGTAATCCTACTGGGCATGCTAAATCATTGGATGCCCTAAAACTAGTTACTTAGAACCTGCCCAGTTCACTTCCTTTGTTTTTAAAGTTGTTCAGTGTGAATACCTAGAAATAGAATGGCTTAAAAAAAAGTTTTTTAGAACATAGACTCATACTTTTTTCCTCTCCCTTTCCACAGATACATCATTTTTTGGATTTTGTGAAACAGATTTACAAGGAGCTTCCAAAAGTAGTGGTAGGTCTTAATTATTTTTTTCCGACTTCTGAAATCCCCATTCTTGACCCATCATGGATAAAATACCCCAACTTGGTGTCTTTTCCTTTATGCCTTCTGGAAGACTTTTGATTATTATTATTTTGCCTTGCAAAATTGGCAGGAGCTTGCGGGTCTGGTAATCGCCCACCCACCAGCTCCATAAGATCTCAATCTTGTCAGGATTCACTTGGAGATTCAAAGGCCGGGACAATAACAACCACCACCACCACCTTTACACCACCTTTTTGTATAGTGCTTTCAAGTGTTCAAAGTACCTTATGGTCCTTGCAAGGGGCTGTATTAGAAAGATGGGATTGCAATAGCCCTGAATGTATATTGAGAGGGATGTTGAAATGCTTGGTGTGGGCACTGTAAATGCCATATTATAAGAAAAGATGTTGGGAGCAAACATTTAATCATAAACGATCAGCAGTGCCCATTATTGCAGCAGTATAATCATGTGATAATTGTATCCAGAGATAGCTAATAGCTTATTGAACTATTCTTAGTACGATATTCACAGTTCTGTATTAATTATCAACAATGAGTTTTGCCAAAGTTGCCTGTTGTCAGAGCTTCCTCCTTTCCTCCCACCCCATCCCTCTGCAACCATGGAGTCTGGTAGAAGTGGCTTTCCCCTGCTTTACCTCCGTAAGCTTATCAGCGCTTCTGAAGTCGGCGAGATCTGCAGCTATGGTTAATGCTTCAAAATCTCTTTGCTTCTTGCCGTAGAATCGTTACTTTGAGAATCCTCAGGTTATCCCCGACAACACTGTTCCTACTCCAGAAATGGTGGGTATGATCACGACGATCGTAGTGAAAGTAAATCCAGAACGGGACGACAGCGAAACGAGAACGGTATG